TAAAATGCCTAAGCAAAGTTTCAAAGGGTTCATGAAGGGTAAATTTTAAAAAGTTTGTGTGTAACTAAGTTGGTTATATTAATATAAGTAGTATAAAGAGTTAAAGCCATTCAAGTTTTCCCCCTAAGGTCAAATGTTAATGTACTGATATAAATCAAAGTTTAATCCTCTATAGGTTGAAATAACAAAGATTTCTAATCTCTCAAGATAATCTGTTATGTTTTATTCTTTAGAGAAATTAGTTTTAAAGGAATTAGGGTTTGTACAACTCTGGTTAAACAGCAACTGCTATTTTAGAGTATTACACTATATTACAGCATCAAGATTTTTCTTTAAAAGCTAAACTTGGTTAATATAAAAACATTAGTGTAATTGTGGTGCTATTACTAGATTCTTTGTATACTAAATGTATTCATATCTTTCAGATACACGAGTCTTTAAAGTATGAGGTTTAAAAGAGCATTTTATCAAGTTAGTGTTCTCCAAACTAAAGTTATCTATAATGGTAATTTTAAACTTAAAAAAATAGTAAATTTAATTGTGGATTTATATCATTTAATTTCTGTAACTGGACCTGTTATCAATAAGACATATATAAAATCTTGTTACTTTTTACCCTGGGGTGGAAATTTAAATGTATTTTTAAAAGTAATGAGAGCCAGCTCTTTTAGCTTTTGTTTGATTCATGTATCAGATGTAATGTTATGTTATGTTAGCAAACACCCATAATAGACACAGGAAATGGTTTATAAAAACTTTGTAATATAATATTTTAAAAAGAGGCAAAAATCAGCTTCAGAATAAAACACTTTACCTAAGATTTGTCAAGAGTCCCACCTTACCTGAATTAAGACTCTACCTCTCACCTTACTTTATGTTAAGATAATTTCGAAGTAGGCTAGACTTAAGCTCATTTAAAGTTATGTTCAAAGGATAAATTTCTGCTGTAAAGATTACTGTGATCTCAAAACAAATAGGAGATATAATATATAATTAAGGTTTAAAGTAAAGGTTTGGGATTATAGAAATTATGTTTCTTGGTTTATAGCTATTATATAAAGTCAATATGTTTTTATTCTTGTTAATTTCATTTTGTATTTTCCATGTAAACTTTAACTGTTGTCTGTTAGTGCCTTATAGAAATACAAATTTCAATATGACCACCTGAGTTAATTGAGATAGTAGGCCATCATAAATAGACAGGATATAAGTCTAATTTCCAGTACTAATACTGACCCCAATTAAATATAAGGGGTAAATGACTGTAAAGTTATAGACATTAGAGTTAAAACCTAGTACTCTTTAAAACTTGTGAAACTGGCTTGCTGGATGTTTAAGACCAAAACTTGGAGACTAAAGTTAAAAAAAATAAAAGGGACAAGAAAGAAAATAGCCAATATTTGGCTCTTGCACTCTGAGTTAGCTTGAATCCAGGGAAAAAGAGGAATTTTCTAGGGGCTTTGCAACTCTGGGCCATAGGACCTCTCAACCAGGGAGATCACTGAGACCCTGGAGAGCAGAAAGCTGATCAAAGCACATGCTGCAGACCAGCACACATGCTGCAAAGAGGAGGGTCTTTGGAGAAGGGAGGCATCCCTGAATCTGCCAAGGAAGCCACATGGTCAGCAAAACCTTGACCTGTCCTGGCAGATGGCACTAAAGGAGTTAAGAAGGCTGCTCACAAGTTCTCTGAGAGTGACCCCCTGAGGGAACTCAGCCAACTCTTAACAACAGATAGGAACAAGGTCAATTTGACCAGCTCTTAAACATCTAAAATAACAGTTAAAACTAAAGCACAGCTATCCCTGGGCATTTGAAAGGAAGACAATAGTTATTTTAATGTAACTGAAGATATACTGTGTAAAACTGGAGGTTACAAAAGAGGGATTCTAGGTAGGAGTACCTAATAACTATCAAAAGGGACTATCAGAGTCAGAAGTTTTTTTCCAATAGTCAAAAGGCCTACAAATCTTCCTAATCTCCTACACACATAGGCTTGATCAGTGTCTACCAGTATGATTATTTAGCCCTAAGTAACAGAAATAAAGGGATCTCTATTAAGCACAGAGGTTATGTCATTTTTTATAAAAATCAGATGACATTAAATAGCTTAACTACAACTTATGGGGGCATCTGTGACATTATAAAAATTAAGTAGTGTGTTTACATTCCTGATAACTCTGGCCATGTTAAATGTTACATTTCCAGATAAAGGCCTTGTCCTCACCCAGCCTTGTCATGGGGACAACTACTCAGCTCTTGTATCTCCTGGTGAAAGATTACTGGTTTCTATTGTCTTCATGATATTCATTGACTTGTATCAGATGCTGCAACATTTATTTTGTATTAATCTCATTCCAGTATTCATGTATTTTTGCTTCTCTCATAGAAGCACCTACCCCAAGATGACTTTACAACCTGTTTTTTTCTGAACCAGACTTTTGCCACAGACCCCTCAACGAACCTGATTTCTAAAAGGGAAATCTGAACTGCTTGCCCCATGTTGCCCCCTTTCAGCTTTAAGCAGCCAGAGCAGTCATCATCCATTTTCCTTATAATTAACAGTAAGGATTCCCTAAAATTAGAGGGGGCAATGAAACAAGAACAAATGTCAAGTAGTTAGTGAAGATAGATGATCAGTCAGGAAGATGGAAACTGATTCAAAGCGAAAGGAATGTTAATATTGTCAGGACACATCCTCCTTACTCATGGCCAAAGTCACCTGCCCCTGCGGTACTGAAATGCTAATGCCTCCAGAGCCCTTCCCCCTGTGTAACCTGTTGTCAAGGTGACCTGCTTCCAGGGAATTGTTCCTCCATACAAGGGGCTATTAACGAATGCATCTGGGCTGCTAACTTCCTGCCTGGACCCTTGGGTGGCTTTGTTCCTAGCCTTGGCCCACCTTTTGATCACAAGTCACTTTGGTCATGGGTCATGTAAACAGGATGGGGGAAAGGTCATGAGAACAAAGGAAGTCTAAAATGTATAAAAGAAGCAGGACACCCCCACTTCAGATTCCAGCTATGGATCCCTTCTTTCTCCTGGGAGAAGACTGTTTCCATCCTTTAAATAAAACTAGCTTTCTACGCTTTCTTCAGTGTTTCTCGGGTGTTCAATCTTCACATCTGGGGAAATGGAACTCGGCCCTGATTGATTCTCATCACTGGTGGTATCAGCAGGAGGATCACAAGTTGAAGCCCAGTCTGGACAACTTAGTGAGATCCTATCTCAAAATAAAATTATAAGGGCTGGAGGTATAGCTCAGTGGAAGAGCACTTTTGGAGCATGTGAGAGGCCCTGGGTTCCATCTCCAGTACTGGGAGGGCGGGTTGGGAGGGAAAGTAGGGAGACTAACAGCGGGAGACTAAAAGCCAAGCAGGGGCTGTGGAGAGATCTCTGGTAGGGAGAGAGTTCTGTAGAGATGCTCAAATGGAGATCCAAAAAAAAGTGGGGAGAGTCTTGGAGTAGGAGAATATGGGGCAGTAGAGAGAAGGGAAACCTCGGCCATAGGGAAACAGTCTGAGGGCTTGGGGGTAGAAAGCCATGGGGGTAGAGGGCCATGAGGGTAGAGGGCCATGAGGGTAGAGGGCCATGAAGGTAGAGGGCCCACAGGAGAGGAGTGGGTGGGCCCTGCAGGAGATGCAAGAATCTGCCACTCAAGGCCAATAGCAGAGGAAGGAAGGAGGAGCATGGAGGTGGAAAGCTGGAAAGTCACCTGGGGCTTTTGTTACCTTCACAACTCCAGAATCCAGGCTTCAGGCCTACAGGGGTGGGAGAGATCTGGGAAAGATCTCAAGTAGTCAGACTACCACCTTTAATGGTCCTTGAGCTGTTCAGTGGAGTTACACTTTGAGACTCAGGTCACCCTCCCCAGTCCAACCTTTAGCATTCAGACACAAAGTGGACTGCAGGGAAGAGGGCTGAGCATTGAGCTAGGGGGCCCACCTCCTGGTCTCTCTGGAGAGTAAGGAAAATGTCAGCCCAGGACCCAGAGTCCAAGAGGAGGGGTGAGGGCCTCCTGGAGGTTATGCTTTGACATCAGCATCACATACTGGAAAGTGGTGAAACTTTAAGGCAGGGCCAATTTCACATCTGTCTCTGTACCCTTGGCCTGACGCAGAGAAACTCAATCCATAATTGCTTAAAACCCAAATACTAGTTGGGCGTGTTAAAACATACCTGTAATCCCAGCAACTCAGGAGGCTGACACAGGAGGATCACGAATTCAAAGCCAGTCTTAGCAATTTAGCAAGGATGTTTCAAAATAAAAAGGGCTGGGAATGTGGCTCAGTGGTAGAGTGACCCTGGGTTCAGTCCCAGTACTATAAACAAAACAAAACAAAAACAACAACAATAAAAAACCCAAACTCTAGGACTCAAGCCCTTCACAACAGATACTTAATCTTCCATGTGGTCAGACTATTTTATTCTTGCTCTTAGGGTTAGGCATACAGTGGTCTTGGCTTATATTCGAGGCTCTGCAATTCTAAGTGATTCCAATGCTAGGAATGCATTCTTTTGAAATAAACACAAGCACAAAAATAAATGAATGAGGTTGTAGGTTATAGTATAATTTGTCACCATACTTTGTGTAGTATGGTTTGTCACAAAGTTTGTCACAAAAGTGGGAGATCTTAAGTATTCATCAACAGGGAATGGTTGAATAAATTGGATCTAACCCCACTAAGAAGTACTATGTGTCTTTTAAAAAGAATGAGCTAGACTTAAATGAACCAACATGAAAAGACATCCTTAGTATGTAAAGTGAAAAAAGCAAGTTGCAAAAAATCTGGTACTATGTGTGTGTATATTTGTACTTTAAAAAGGCATGGAGTAGAGAAGAGGAAAAGGATGGGGAATGGGGGGAATAATGGGAAATGATAATGGCCAAATTATATTGTTATATTGTGTGCATGTATGAATATGTAACAACAAATCCCAGCATTATGTACAATTATAATGTACCAATAAAAATATGGAAAAAATAAAGAAAAGGCATGTAAAAGTCCATATAAAATTAATGTATAATTAGTTATTAGTTGTAGAGAATAAATTGATAGGTCTGGAACATTTTTCTATACTATTCGATTTTTCTCCATTATATTACTTTTGTTTGTTTGTTTTGGGTAAGGGGATAGAACTCAGGGGCACTCAACCACTGAGCCATATCCCCAATCCTATTTTGTTTTTTATTTAGAGACAGAGTCTCACTGAGTTGCTTAGCACCTCACTTTTGCTGAGGCTAGCTTTGAGCTCGTGATCCTCATGCCTCAGCCTCCTGAGCCACTGGGATTATAGGCATGTGTCACTGCAGCTGGTTCTATTATATTACTTTTATAATTTAAAAAGAATAAATTTTCTGGGTATGGGGGCGCTTGCTTATAATTTCAGTGACTCGGGAGGCTGAAGGAGGATGATCACAAATTTGAGGCCAGACTCAGCAACTCAGTGAGACCCTATCTCAAAACTAAAAAAATAAATAGGGCTGGGCATGAAGCTTAGTGGTAAAGGATGCCTGGGTTCAATCTTCAGTATCAAAATAACTAAGTAATTACAAAATAAATAAATTCTGGGATATTAAGCTATCTTTAGCAAGGGTCCAACAGTCTTCAGGTCAGGTATAGATACCCAGAGGCTTCAATGATCTGTTGTTGGGAAATAGTTGGTACAGGGATGGCAGCAGGTTTTAAGAGGCAGAGGCTCTAGGTTAACTCTCAGAATGGTCAGGGTATGGGTTTTAAGGAAAAGTGCAGGTGTTGAGTTAGGGCAAGGCCAGCTGTGGCTGGAAGGCAAGAAACTAATTTCTTAGCATTCCTACAAATCCTTTTCCTCTTCTTTACCATTGCTCCTTCCTATCTCCCCTTGCCCAAGTTGGCATGTGTACTAGTAAGGGTTCTCTAGAGGAACAGAACCAACATATATATCCTAGACACTCTCATTGACACATCCAGAAGCCTCTTACTTTCAGGCATCTTTTAATCCAATCAGTTGACAATTCAGATTGACCATTACAGCATGTGGTCCTTTCTTCCCCTTCTGTACCTCTCACTCCCTGTGAGTTGCTCTTAGCTCACTCTTCCTGGGCAATGCTATGCTTTTTTTTTTGGCAGGCTTGAAGAAGCTTCTTGGCACAACATAAGTTGGTTGGGCATGATATGATTTGGCTGGGGAGCTGTTGGGTGATGCTATAGGTGCTGTGAGGCGAGCTGGAATAAGTGGCAAAAAAAAGACTAATAAATGTTTGGATGTTTAATACAACCAAGAGTAGGGCCAGGAGCCGGGATTATGGGGCTGGGGCTGTAGCTCAGTGATAGAGCATTTGCCTAGCACATGTTGAGGCACTGGGTTTGATCCTCAGCACCACATAAAAACAAATAAAGGTATTTGTTTAATAATATATTTAAAATATATTATTTAATATATTTAAAAAATAAAAGATCAGGCGTTATATGAGTATGGCTAACTTGACTTATTAGCACAGATTTTCTCAATTGGGCCCTAATCCATTCTTCTATAGAGCAGATTTACCTGGTAGGCAGAGTGCCCAAGCCCCATAATACTTCTAGGGGCCCACAAAAATGCTTTAGTTGAAGATTAAAAGATGTAAATAGAATCTAGATTTGCATTCACCCTTATGCCAATGTAATCATAAATATAATTTTTAATTTTTTATGGAGTAAGGGTCCTATGAAGAGCCTAGGGCCCATCAAAGTTAAAACATGGCCCTTATCTTCTACCTTCTATAGCTGTTGTTTCCTTTCCCTGATGTCTTCTTAGTTTCCCAGAACCTTTTGTATCTTTGTCCCTCTGTGTCCCTGCTCATACTGTTTGTGTGACATCTCTGCTTCTCGAGTTCTTTCCACCTGAGAACTCACCCATCCACAAGATCAAACGTCATTCTTTGTAAGGCCTTTCCCAATTCCCCTGAGAGGAAGGGACTGTTCCTTCTAATACACATAGCACTTTTTTTTTTCTTTTGACATCTCCAAGCTTCTCATGACTTATTTAGAGTAGAAGTTCCACGGGGAAATAACCTCATCTTACACTTCCTCATAACTTCATGTACTTGACATCCAATACATAGATATTTGGGGATAACAGCCAGTGACTGTAACAGAGTATTTCAAATGTATGTGGTTCTTCCCAATCTAAATCAACAGATACAGCTAAGGGACAAAGCAGGAAAAGAACCCAACACACACTTCTTCTACCAATGCCCTAAAATCTTTATTTCCACTGGGATTCCAGGCCCAATTCTCGTTTCTGAGAAAGAACTTCTCCTTTTCCCCACTGTAGGTCACATCCTGGCCACTTCTTTCTTTCCCTTTGGCTGGGCCACCCTAGAGTATCTTCTCTATAATGGGCTCCCAAAGGGTACCAGGGAGCTTCCTGCAGGGTTGAGTTGCAGGTAACAGGAGGCAGCTGTGGTTCCACGGCACCCTCAAGTGGTGATAGCCTGCTACTGATGTCAGAAGAAGACTTCCTGGACAGAATTTGTTTTCAGCTAGGCAGAGGGGGGAAGGGAGGGTTTTCTTTTTTTTTCTTTGGTACCAGGGATTGAACCCAGGGGCGCTTAACCACTGAGCCATATCTCCAGCCCTTTTAAATATTTTACTTAGAGACAGGGTCTTGGTAAACTGCTTTAGGGCCTCACTAAGTTGCTGGGGCTGGCTTTGAACTCACAATCCTCCTGTCTCAACCTCCTGTGTCTTTGGGATTACAGGCATGTGCCACCAGTCCAGTCCTGGCAGTAGGGGGAGCTTTCTACCTCGGGCGAAGAGCCGGTAGCACATCAAGTCCACTCCATACCATGCCTATGCCAGTGCAGTGGAAGGGATCAGTCTTTCAGTCTTGCTCAACTCTGCAAACTGTCCCTGCTTGAGTTCTAGACTCAGGGTTGCCAATACCTTGCTGGGTGTCCTTGGACAAATTCACTCGTCTGGTCTCAGTTTCATAATATGAAATTAAAGGATTGGACTAAAATATCAGTTTTCAAATTAGGCTCATAGACCTCTACAAGTTCATGGATTGGAGAGCATTGCCCTTCCCTCCCTCAATTTTCACCATGCTGCTTTGCTTTTTCTACTTTATATATGGGGCTTAAACTTGAGAATCACTGCTTCCATGAACTTTCTTTCAGCATTAACATCCCAGGATTCCCAAATGTGGTCTCCTTCCACATGGCTACACAGCTCTATTGTTCTAGGCTTTATGGAAGCCAGCCAACTGAAAATGATCAGAATGGGGTGAAGAGGGCATAGTAAAGTTGGTGGCTTGTCTAGTGTTCTTGTGTGGTGGAAGGAGCTTTGGTTCAGCAGTGAAGAGCCTCAGTCTTAGTTACAGCTATCCACTAGCTGTGTGACTACGACAGACTCATTTACCTCTTTCTGCCTTAGTTTCTTGTCAGTAAAATGGGCACAGTGGTTCCTGTCCTGTCTTTCTCACAGGATTATTGGACAAATGAAATAAAATAAAGGATACTCAATGGGATACTTCCTATGAATCATGATCAGTTCTACACACTTTGGGCTATGAGCAAGGGAGGCTCTCTTTGACCTCTAATCCCTCCATGAGAGCACCCTGTTTCACTAGATTCTGCAGGTGCTCTGGGTGACCAGGGCTTCAGGATGGGGATACAGAGGTATTCTTCTTGTGTTCAGCATTGCTGTCCTGGGCCCTCCCCCAGCTGCCTTCTCTGCTTTGGAGGACTCTGTTTCTAGGGCAGAAGGAGAGCCCTAGGCCAAGCATCATGTGTCCTCAAGGACTCTTCCATCAGTGTGGAGGGAAAAAAATGGGTCCAATGTTGCAAGGAGCAAGATGGTCCTGCTTTGACATCCATTGGGTTTAGCAATCCATTTTTAAGGCCTATTGAGGAGCTAGTGTCAGTTTGTCAGACCTCAGCAATCCTGTTTCCTGAGAGGATCACAGGAGCTTGCTGGGGATGATCCAGGGCCTAGACAAAGAGCCAGAGCTGGTGGGTGTCCCTGGGATTACAGGGGGCCATGGTTGGTTTTTTGTCCTGGGATGTCAGGCAGGTACCAGATCCTGAGTTCCTGATGAGGTGATCCTAAAAGACAGAACAGCAAAGGATCAACTTGGGGGCAGACCTCTAACAGTGCTACTGGGGAGCAGTGAGATAGGGGACAAATGAAGGAGGCAAAGGAACCCAACAAGGCACAAAGAAGACATTTGCAATTTCTCTCCTGGGAGGCAGACACTCTGATGAGCTGCATTTGTGAGTCCCTGTCTGAGGCCAATTCCCAAGCCCCAGCTTTAGCTTGAGTGGCTGAAATAAAGGAAAGCAAGACCAGAGGCTAATAGAAAAATGCTTTCAGAAGGTATAGGCAGGTAGCCTGGGTTCTTGCAGCCTGATCCTTTAGACCACACTCTTAAGCAGTGGGTCCCAGTGGTGCCTGTTGAGTGTGTTGTCTACATGGCCACGGCTAATCTCCAACCCACTGACCCCATGGCAGCTCTGCTAAAACAGATATATAGAGAGAACAAACTATATTCAGACCATGAGCTTCATGCTTTAGATGAAGTCCAGTGACTAGCAAAGAAGAAAGCTGACCTTTGATGAAGAACAAGATGAACAGAATATATTACTTGGGCAAGATTTGGAAGACATGGAAGCAGAAATTCCTATTGTAAATCTGGAGCTTGTATAACAGAAACTGATAAAACAAACAAATAAACCTTATTGTACTGGAAGCTAGACTAGGAATTTATCCTATTAGAGAGAAGCCTGAAGATGTTTAGATGCTGCCCTCTCAGACAAAGTAGCAGTCTGGGGAGCCCCTACAAGTGACAGCTGAACAAACCCTGGCCACTCTCTCAGAAAACAATATAGAAGCCAGGTTCTTAGGAAATGCATCTTGTGGCCCCTACAAGTTCAAGATACCTGCAGGCAACGTGGACAGAAAGTAACTTTGGAGCCAAAGTATTCTTCTTCAAAGCACTACTACTAAGCAGAGACTTTTTCCAGGCCAGGAAAAAGGGCCATCATGTGTGCGCCAGTAAGGAGGAGCTGGGTGACTATTTGAAACCAAAATACTTGACCCAGGTTAGGAGATTTCTTTTGGATCTCTGAAGGAGGGAGCTTCCTGTGGACAATGCTCAGACAAGTCAGGGGTTAGTACTTCAAGGATGTGTGGTTACTCCATATTTGCAGGAAATACAAGTAGCAAACTAAATTCTGAGAATTAAATGTCAAGAAAGAGAGAGAGAGAAAAAAAAAAGAAAGGAAAGGAAAAGAAAAACAAGAAAGAGAAAAATGCTCTAAGGGACTCCTGCCAACCTAGATGTCCAGGCTCAAAGACCTGGGGTCACTGCTGCCTGCCCCCCATTTCCTGTCTTTGATTTTATTTTAACTCCTCCCTTTCCTGCAGCCTCAGGTTAGGCTCTTTTTTCCTGAGCTGAAAATGGGCTCAGCGATATGGATGCTACATTATATATCCTGGAACAGTGTGGCACCATGGAAAGAGCCTGTGCTTTCAAGCCAGACAACCTAGGTCTGAATCCCAGCCTGCCAATGCCTTGTGATGAGTCTTGGGTCAGTGGCAAACTTGTTGAGCTTCATCTGGCTCATCTATAGGCATGGGGCCACTGCCTACCTAAAGATGCTTGTGCCACAGCAGAACTGGCCATGGGCCATAATTGCCAACCCTATCTTTGTATCAGCCAGAACCAGTCATCACTCGACATTGATCAAGTCCTGAGAACCCTGCCTGTCATCAAGCCCTCACTCACCAGGTCACCTCATGGTATCTCAGGCAGAAGATACAGAGAATAAGCAGCAGGCAGATGTGGCCTTGAGTTCTTGATTCCAAGCTTTCTGGGCAACTGACTCACCTGGGTCAATTCCCATTCCTCATCCTTGGGTACGTGGCTATTTTTGCCAGTGAACTGACATTTCCGAAGGCCCAGTGTTCTAGCACTGGCATGTAGACACAGCTGCTTTGCGACATTGTGGCGAAGGTCCCTCTGGGTTGTGTACTCAAAGTACTGGAAGTCAAAACAAGAGGAAGTTTTGAGGAGCAGGTGGGGAGTGGCCCACTGTCTTCCAAAGCCACATGCCCTAAGACACCATCCACAGGTGGACTGCTGGGAAGGAAAGCAAGTGGACCAGGCCATGCTAAGACTCTCAGTAATTCTTGTTGCCTTCATGATTTTTATCAAATACAGGTTATATACTGGGATAACAATTAATATATATTTAGTTAAAAATTAAAATTTTCTGTGCATGGTGGCATATGCCTATAATCCTAGCAACTCAGAGGGCTGAAGCAAGAGGATCACAAGTTTGAGGCCAGTCTCAGCAACTTAGCAGGGACTTGAGCAACTTAGTGAGATCCTGTCTGAAGTAAAAAATAAAAAGGACTGAGGACATAGCTCAGTGGTAAAGTGCTTCTGGGTTTGGTCTCCAGTATCAAAGTAAGTAAATAAATAAATAAAGTAAAATTTAATTTAGCTTAGCCTCATTTTAAGCAGCATCTGTGTGTAAAATCATGTGTTGAATATGCTAGTTCTATCTCTGCTAGTAAATTATTACTAAAATAAAAAATGTTCATCTGTGTGCCACCTAAAAATCATCTTGCAGGTCAGTAGTTTAAGAAACTGCTTTTGAATGGCTTTGTCTTCATTTGCACATGCTGACAGCCTGTTCAGGTCCCGAGCCACTTCTCTCCTTGCTTCAGCTCTGTTTTAAGTACCTCTTATTTACCAGCGGGTGTACATTTAGGGTAGTAGAGGGACAATGAATGGGGAGGTTACTAGTTATTTCTCAGGGGAGTGCTGGGGCATTCTGGGACTTAGGGTAAACTTCTAGGACGCCAGGTAATTGTGAGATGTCAGTAGGTGACCGTTTGGGGTCCCTGCTGGGTGGGAGGATCAGAGTGGTAGTTTCTGGGCAGGGGAGATAAAAATTGAATGTAGGTAAAGGGAAATGTTCAAAAATTTTCAAATTTTCCTGCAAATATCAGCTGGCTTCCTTCCAGCAAGGCTTCTCTGATTACAGTGTTCTCTCTCATTCTTCTCTAGCACCCAGCACTGCTGCCAGTGTGCCCTCTGTCCCCAGACTTCAGGTCTTATCTGTCTGTGTCATGCATTATCCCTCAGACTGAGCTCCCTGAGACAGAGATGGTACCTCCTCTGCCTTTCAGACTACCTCCACTCCAGTCCTTGGGAAAGGACTATTTAGGGTAGAGGAAGGGAACCATGAGGAGAGGAAGTACCCCAGAGATTGGCTTCTCTTGGGTCTGCCTAGTATGGGTGAGCTGTTTACCTGATTGCCACCGAGGCCATGGCAGGAATACATGATGAGGGGCTTCCCTCCATGGTTATTCTCACCCACATCCAGGCACTGATCAATGCCAAGGTTCTTGATCTGCAAGATGGTAAACAGAGAGGGGGACCAGGGTAGCGTGACTGGGAGTTTCCAATTTTGTGCTGTGAGGCCCAACTGGAAAAAAACTTTCTCTTCTACTCATCTTCTCTGCTCATTAACCCAGATGCCAGGAGTTCTAGCAAAGTGAGGGAGAGGCAGGACTGGACATCCACCATGGGGCAGGATGTATAAACTCTTATGACATCAGGTTCCTTGGAAGATTTCTTCCTTGGAAGAAGATTCCTTATGAGCAGTGGTTCTCAAAGCATGTAATGCCCAGACTATCAGCATCTGATTTTCAAATCCTATCCCAGTCATTCAGAATCAGAAACTTAGAATGGGGCCCAGCATTCTGTGTTTTAACACATCTCCTTGGTGATTCTGATGTGCACTGACATTTGGGAACCACTACTTATGGGTTGTTTCCTTCTGATCAGGTTTTTACCTATATCTAGAAGTCCCAAAGTGGACCCTCCATCCTCCTCCTGGATAAAAGATTGTGGTAGTAAAGGTCAATTCTTGTTTGCCATTCATAGTGGGGTAGGTGGTCTTGAACTTCTCAGGGGGTTGCTGTGATAATAGGTAGGCAGTTTGGTTCTCAAACTTACAGCTCCATAGAAGGTGGGATTCAGGTCAGGAACAAACATCTCTGGGTAGATGTTGTGAAGGAACCAGGAGAAGTTGTGGCAATGTAGTTGTTCCCGCAGCCGCAGTCGTTCCGAAATGTCACCAAAGGATTTCTGCCAACCAAGCCAGTCCCCTAAGGGTCAGTTCCACAGCCTTGACCTTCCCATTTGGGTTGAGCAGCCCAGACAGTGTGCTGCTCCCAAGGCCACTTTCTGTCCTGTGCATTCCCATTTAGGATCTGCTAGAGCTAGTTGTTCAGCCTCATATCCAATCTCAGACTCCCTACACCTTGGTTTGGGGTCACCCCCTGCAAAAAAAAAAAAACCCGCCACTTCCTCATTTCCTGTGACTGCCAGTAAGTCCTCCTGGTTCAGTCCAAGCTTCTCAGAGTGATTCTTTTGTAAGAGGTTCTTTCTCCCAAATTTCTTCTCTCCCCTCCCCTCCTAAATAATGCTGTAATTCTCCAGATAGGGACAACAAGGGCTCCTCTAGCCTTCAAGATCTATGGCCTCCCCTGGGCTCTATCTCACGGGGCTCTTCGGGCTGAGGGGAGTCACCAATGGTACTGATGGGGTCCCTGCCATTCAGTCCCTGACTGGAGTCTGGGATTCTGTGCTTTACTTCATCCTAACACCTCTGAGCACCACTTCCTCTCACCTCTTGGGCCATCTTTGCTGCCTGCAGATTTCTCCTGTAGAAAATCTTCTTGTAGTTATCCAGCCAGACCTCAGCCAGGCGCACTTGGTTGCGAGCAATGACACTGGTCCCCTTGGGGAAGGTGTGGGGACTCTTGGTACGGAACACATGGCCTACCACAGAGCAGGGGATGATCTCCAGCTGGCCCCCACACTGCCACACCTGGCACAAGAGGAGACAGGACCGTGTCTTAGGAGGTGGGTGGGGAGGGGACAATCTCCCCTCAGGTAGCTATGTTCAGTTTCCAGGGCACTAGACTCCAGGTCCAAGGACTCAGTTAACTTTACTCTCTTCCTGGAAAAAGGGACATTGACCAAGTTTCTTCCTAGGCTGTGACTACACAATTCCAGGGTCTGTGATGTTGGTTCATTCTTGTTTAAGCAAATAGAGATTTGCAGAATCCTGAGGTCACTATGGCCCACTTTAGAGAAGAGATAGTTGGTTCACTTTGTGCTGCTTACCTACTCTTCACTCTGATCACTTCACTTTTTGTCCTGAAGATGTGATTTCATCAGCTCACCTAGGTATTACTGGAAACTAAAGATCTCCCAAGTCATAGAATTAGTGCACTAGTCAACAGCAAGGACTGTCAACTGCCAAGTAGCCTGGGTAGTCACCAGGTTCCTTAGCACACCAGTTTCTCAGGAGAGAGACTGAACAGTGAGTCAGAGACTCACTGAGTAGCCTAGAATCAGAATCCTGGGAGTTACTATGACTGGCCAGTGACCCTTCTCCATACCAGTGGGCTGGCCAAAAACATCCCTTCCACTGGTCTCTTCTTTTGGGTTTCATGTGTGGAGATATGTTTTGTTCTCTTTAGCTTCTGTAGTACAACCATAGTTAGATTATAGCAGATATCAATTATGTGTTTATTATGTGCCACTGTAAGAGGTGACTTCAAAAATGGACTCATCTAAGAGTGGTTGGGGAAATAGAGTCCCAGGAACCACAGGCTGCTCTGTCCAAGAACCAGGGAGAGGCGGGACAGGGCCAAGATCACTGTAAATGCCTGTCTGAGGTAGTATTTCCTGGTATCAGGTGCCAGGAGAGAAAGATGCCTGGGGGTGGAGGATGATTGTAAATATATCAGCTCCACGTTATTTATAGAAAATTTACATCTGTGTGAATGTGAAATAAATGTCCTTAACTCAAAAAAAAAAGAAAGAAAGAAAGAAGAAAAAAAATGAGCTCATTTACTTATTACTTTTTACTGGCCTGGGGATTTGAACAGGTTTCATAAAGAGAAAATCCTTTCTTCCTACCCCAATCTTGATTTGCCTAATTCTTAAAATCCCTCAGAGTTCTGGAATCTACCAGAATCAGGGTCTCTGTCTTCTCCTACAGTTATGAAGAGTTTATTTAACATAGACAGAGAAGCCCTAAGGGGATGTATCTTTTGACATAGGAAGGAGAGCCTATTAGAATCCCCAGTCCCCCATGACTCTATTATCCATTCCCTCCTAGTAGTTCTACCTTGTAATTTATTTCAAGTCATCCCACTGATTGCCAGAACCCTTCTGCCATGGACAGGGAGGGGAGCAGAGAAAGGGCAGACCATGACAGAAAACAGCCACCCTTTCAAGTTCAGTTCCAGATGTGACATCCCTGCCTAAAGGATAGCTCCTTGTGCTGTCCCCTGGGAAGTTGTAGTTTCCCCCGAAGCTCTCTTCACTCTCACCCGCAAGGACATTTCCACGTTCTCCCCTCCCCAGATCTCCATCTGATTATCATAGGTACCGATGTGCTCAAAGTAGGACTTGGAGATGGAGAAGAGGCCACCAGCAAATGTCGGGGACCTGGAGAGACAGAAGAAGAAGCATGTGTATCTTCTGCAGGGGGAGGAGCAGGAGGCTGTTGAGGAATGCTGTTTGTGAGCTCATTTCCTAGGCCTCCATAGCCTACCTCCTCTTCTTCCTGGGACATGTAGCCCCTCTTCTGCTAAGTCACCTGTCCACTTAACTTTTACTTTGTCCTTTTTCCCTTCTAATTCTGGGTCAAGGACAGATGTAATTATCATTACTCTCCTCTGAAAGGCACTCATTCATTCATTCAACCAAGAATGTATGAGACACCAGCCTCCAGCATGTGTGCTATACATGAGGGGCATCCAGAGCTGACAAGGACAATCCCATTCCCTGAGTACACAGTATAGTAGCAGAGCAGGAAGCTTCATTGCTCACTTTTTGGCATCAATGTGCTAGAATGAAGTAAATACTCAATTTTTGGAAGTTGTGTGAAATTGTTTTAGAAAATAGGCAGGAGTCAAACTGTGAATGAATGAACACATATTATCATCTGGGCTGGCCCTATTCTATGTTGGGGTCTTTGGCCCTTCCGCGACTATAAAGCCACAGTATTAGCAGGAATCTAGCCCTGGTGTTCTAAGCTGCCTGAGAAACTCAAGATGCCAGTTACCTTGAAAGGGGAAACTGATAAAAGGTGCCCCTGGAAACAATGGGAAGAAAGTGTGAGATAAGCACTATGTTTGGACTATGAGGAGCAACTAGGAGGCCATAAAAAGATTATGGCATTCAGACAAAGGCAAGGAGGCATAGACCCAATTTAGGTAAATTGACAAAAACATCTCATTCCTAGAATTAAATACCAGGCTAAGGGTGGGGCACCTAAGTGGACAAAGGGAAGTAGAAGCATAATAGAAGGCAGGAGCACTTAGTCCTTGGCTGTTGGCTTCTACACCTGAGCCAGGCTGGCTTGAATAGCTCTTTGCTGCCCTTAGTGGGTAGCTTCATATGATAGACCAAGCAGAAAGAAACAGAAACTTTTTGTGTAACCCCAGAACCTATCAAGGGGCTTTCATCACAGTGAGGTCCAATCAAGGTTCAATGGGCTGATCCACAAGAGCCTGACCTTGGTGTTATCCTGTAGTTGCACTAATCTCCCTGAAATTGGCTCTTGCAGCCACTTTCTGGGAGGAATTTCAGTTGGGAAACCTGAATGCTCAGCTTGGCTTCCTGTCACTGGTTCTGTCCTCTCCCAGGGTTCCTAAGCCAGAATAAGTAGCATCCAGAGAGGCTCAGAGAGTCCTAGAACTCCAGATGGCTTTGAAGCTAACCTGCTCTTGAGAGTCTCCCCCACTGTGGCCTGTCTCATCTCCAAAAGGTCTCCTAGACTAAGTCACTGACAAATCAGCTGTGAGGATAAACCCTACACAGGGAATATCACAATAGATCCACAACCAACAAGCAACCTCTAATAAATGCCCTCTATTTCTTAGCCCTGGGATCCCTCTGGCTCATCTGCCTCTCCCCTTATTTTCTCACCTCCTCTTTGAAAGAGGAGGTGAGGAAGTCCTATAGAAGTCCTGCCATGGGCCACTCTGTGAAGTGCCTTGGGCATGCCATGACTGCCACCAGGGGATTGGAACCAAGGAGCAAATTCATTCCTCAAACACTGGAGCTTTGTTCTCCAGTTGTATGTCCCTGGATGCTGGAGCTGGGGATGTCAGTGATGAGTGGCAGCCAGGCGCCTTGTCCCTGACTGTGTTGCTATGTGCCTGGCCCCAGTCTGGGTGTGGGATTTATTGCTGTACATGCCAAACAAAAGACATCTATGGAAAAAGTGGAGGGTCACTAGGGAATTCCAATTCCTTTTCTCTCTCCTGTCCTCTCTTTTCCCTCTTTGTTTCTAATGCAGACAGACAGTTGGCAGTTCAGTATCCCTGGGCACCCGAGCTATCTCAACTGAGACTCTGGTCACCATTTCTCAGGATTCTGGGCATGTGCAATGGGAGGAACCCCAAGCCTCTCCTCCTTTCAAACCTCTCTGCACCGGGCACAGTGGCACACACCTGTAATCCCAGCAACTCAGGAGGCTGAGGCAGGAGGATCATGAGTTCAAAGCCAGACTCAGTAACTAAGCAAGGCCCTAAGCAATTTAGCAAGATGCCATCTCTAAATAAAATATAAAAAAGGTGCTGGGGATTTGGCTCAATGGTTGAGTGCCCCTGGGTTCAATCCCAAGTACCAAAAAAAAAACAAGCAAGATTGCATGTGGATGGTAAAACCTGTGATCTTTACTATCTGGCCCTTTACTGAAAAAGTTCAGGGCAGCAGGGTGCAGTGGTGCATGCCTGCAATCCTAGCAACTTGGGAGGCTGAGGCAGGAGAGTGGCAAGTTCAAGACCTATGCAACTTAGTGAGACTCTGTTTCAAAATTCAAAATAAAAATTTTTAAAGGCTGTGGATTTAGCTCAGTTGTACAGTACACCTGGGTCCCTAGTACTAAAAAAAAAAAAAAAATTCAGGGCAACTACAAATTGCAACAAACTTTAAACTGCAGAAAACTTATTTTCCTTAAATATGTTCTCAATCTCTTAGAGACCAGTACTTAGGAATGCATGCCACCCCTACTTATTACAATGGCTATTCAACTCTGACCTCCACCCATCTCTCACCTGTTCTTCCAGCACCATTTATGACCTAAGTGTCAAAAAGAATCAATGAGATAAAGTAGAAGCCTTAGTCCAGTGCCTGGTGCACAGTCAGTGTGAATAAGAGCAAGCTGTTTTGGTGTGCAGCAGTACAGTGCCATGGTTAAGGCTGTGCGGTAGACAGAGGAGGAATATCTTTGCTACCATTTGCTACCTGCCTGATCTAAGGTCAATTATTTATCACTAGGAGCCTCAGTATAAAACAGACTATCATAGTACCTACCTCATACAGAGTGAGGATTAAATAAAAATGTCAAGTACTTGACAGAGCACCTAATAAATGCTGATGTGGGATGGCACAGGTCCCTGGAGTTGGGCAGGACTGTGGCCACAGAAGTCATGTTGGGGGCTCATCAGGCTGTGATCCTTACTTGATGGGGTAGGTCTCATCCTTGCGCCTCTGTTTCTCATGGTCAGGCAGAGTCTCCCAGCCAAAGGTCAGGCTCCAGTCAAAGTTGCCACGGCTGTGGGCTCTGCCCCGCTGGACAGGCTTGAAGAATGCAAAAGTATTCAAGTCGATGGTAACAATGTCTGGACTCACCACTGTTGTCTTGTCCTCAGCAATTCGAGCCAACAAGGGCTCCAGCCAGCCATGGAAGCACTCACCTGCAGAGCCAGACCAGGAGGTAGCAGTCAAGGTCCTCCCCACAGTTGAACCAAGCCCCACCCCAGGCTTGCATCCCTGAGACAGGTCCTTTTGACATTTTCAATGGACTTCTGCATATATTACTTCATTGGGCCTTCAGAGTAATAATTTTGTTAGGTAAATAAGATTTAGTATTCTCATTCCCATTTTACAAATGAAGAAACCGAGGCTGTTAGTGGAACAGTTAGAATGGGAACCAGAGTTTCTGACTCCAAGTCTAGAGCTTTCCCTAATATATCTCACAGCTCTTACACAATACTTTTTTTTCCCCCTGAAAATGATTGGAAAGAAGAATGATAGTGAAATATAAGATGGATGCTAGTTGGCCGATGATAATAAACGGGTATTCTGCTGGTTGACCTCCAAAACACCAGGAAAGTGTTTTGACTTTTATCAAGAAGAAGGCCTTTCTGACTCCACATGGCTCCATACGAAAGCCCCACCCAAATTGTTCCCAGTTTGAGGTCTCTTTGAGGCACAGAGTTCAGAACAAAATATAGGTCGGGGAAAGGTGGAAGGAAGAGTGTCGAGGGCTCCAGAGTACACTCTCAGCAATTTTGGGGTCACCAATTGTTTTAGAGTTATTTGTGCCTCCTAATTAAACATCCCTGAGATTGGGGAAGTAAGGGGCAGAAGAAGAAGAGGCTCCCAAGCTTCCTTCACTCCTGAAAAAGTTGAACAGTGTGGTCTCAGCTTTTCATTCTGCCAGGAGGGAGGGACAGGTGGTAATGTGGGCCTCCTGGGTGCCAGGCAGGCATCTCCTACTCACAGTGGGCATCCAGGAACGTGAGCACCTCTCCCTGCGCCACGCTGGCCCCCAGCAGCCGAGCAGTGATCAGCCCCTTCCGCTCCTCCTGCCGCACCACTCTTACGATCTGCAGCTGCTGCACATACTGTTCCAGCTTCTCCTTCAAGTATTCTGGAAGGGACAAGGCCACTGTTGCCAGTTCACTGCTTTGTTGCAAACTTAATCCCCTGTGGGTACCAAGCCTAGGTGCTCTAAGGTCACCAGCACACCTGAATGCCAAATACCCCCCACCCCCACTGCATTGAGCCACTCCACAAAAGGCTGAGGTGAAAAAGGGGGACGAGGGAGGATGGCAGAGGAAGGAGGAAGTTCCATCTGCAGCCAAGTCTCCTTGGGGCTTTGTGGTGCCTGTTTACTGAGGCACCTCTCCATATTCCATGACAGCATCTCAGAGTTGTGTTTTGTGAATACAAAATAACAAAGGCTCTCAAGTGCCTCTCACAGTTTCTCTACTGTCCCTGCCACTGCCTTCAGAGCCGTGATTCCGCCTCCTTCCCCCTCACACCTGGTGGGTGCTCCCTCATTTCTCAGTGTCTATGATTCCCTGTCTTCCAGGATCTTTGGAATAAGTTTGACTGACAGAGCAAACACGGATGTTGACTGCTTGCCAGTCGATCAACTGCTGGATCATCAGCAAGAAGTCTTAATACTTTCTTCTTCATCATCATCTTTTTTTTTTTTTTTGGTGCTGAGGATCAAACCTATGGCCTCGCTTATGCTAAGGTTAGCACTCTACTACTGAGCTACACCCTTAGCCTTTTTTATTTCTGAGACAGGGTCTTGCTAAGTTGCCCAGGCTGGCCTAGAATTTGTGATCTTCCTTCCTCAGCCTCCTAACTATCTGGAATTAGGGCTGGGGTTGTGGCTCAGCGGTAGAGCGCCCGCCTCACACGTGTGAGACCCTGGGTTCGATCCTCAGCACCACATAAAAATAAATAAACAAAATAAAGATATTGTGCCCATGTATAACTAAAAAAAAAAAAGTATATGGAATTATAGGCATGTGACACCATTCCTATAATCAATCAATCAATCTCTCTCTCTCTCTCTCTTTCGATATACACATACACTTTAAAAAACAACTATACACCAGTTATCTGCCATGGGCCAGTCACAGTGTTAGGGACTAGTATACAGTGATTACAACTGTATGATATTTGACCTAAAGAACACATTGCCCCATGATCTGTCAGTGATCTGCTAGGGGTAATGCAGGCTGGGCCATTCTTGCAAGAGGACCAAACATTTGAATTAGAAGGCAGCAAAAAAAAAGCTTTCTGAAAGGAGGGGCATCTTCACTGAGATCTCCAGCTCCTTTTGAGAGGGAGTATTCTGTTTCTTTACTGGCCTTTACACTGGCTGTTCTCCTGGTGGGGAGCATTCAGAGTGATCTTCCCTAATGTTCCTGGTACTCCACCTGAAACCCTCAGCACATTAAAAATAGCTCTATTCTGAAGGAATCCGTCTTGAAACATATTCCACATATACCTGTGCCACTGTTCTAGTCTCAGTTGTGCAGAATGGAGATTCTTTTTTTTTTTTTTAATTTTTTATTGTTGGTTGTTCAAAACATTACATAGTTCTTGATATATCATATTTCACACTTTGATTCAAGTGGGTTATGAGCTCCCATTTTTACCCCATATACAGATTGCAGAATCACATCAGTTACACATCCAAGAATGGAGATTCTTGTAGTGTTAACAACTGTGGCAAATCTGTGTCCTTTCCTTTTGGATCCTGGGATCAGCCCAGTGCACAGGCCCTGCTCTGAATTTTACAAACCCCATGAAATCAATTTAGCAGACTGCCACTAATCCTGCACACATACACACATGCACACTATAGTGAACACTTGAGTACCTACTATGTGCTATTCACTGAACTAGGTATTTTCATGTTGACTTCCTTCTTCAGTCTTTTCAATAACAACTCTATGGAACAGGGAGTATTACCCCTGATATAGAAAAAAAAAAAATAGATGAAAGACTCAAAAGAGTGATGAGCCCAGAATCACAGCAAGTGCAAAGGGCAGCTGTGGGTTCCTAACCAGCCTGCGTCTGAGGTGAGGCCACTTGGCCAGGACAATATGCATGGCTTCAAGGTGGTCTCTGCAACCTCTTGCAGTTATCTGAGGCCTTACCACTTCCCAACATGTGAAACCCCAACAGGGAAGGAGATAGATCAAGCTCCTCTTTTTGCTTTTACTAAGGAGGGTAGAGCCCAGGGGAAAGAAAACATAATTTGGATTTTGTGTGTGTGTTGGGTAGGAGGCACTACTAAGGCTTGAACCCAGGGGTGCTTTACCACTGAGCTACATATCAACCCTTTCCATTTACTCTTTTAAAAATTTGAGACAGGTTCAAATGAAGTTGCATAGCCTGGCCTTGAACTTACAAACCTACTTGTGCAGTCTCCCAAGTGGCTAGGATTATAGGCGTGCCCCACTGTGCCTGGCTATAATTTGGAACTTCAACTCTTCTCTTTTCTTCAATTCTGGATAGACAGGTATTCCTGACATGGTGCTGCCTTCCTTGTGAATGGAATCCTTTAGGCAATCACTCAAAAGAGGAGCTGTATCTTACTTACTCCAGGAATGAGAACTCTTCCCTCTGGTATCAGGATCTTATGAGTCAAAATTAGCCTCCCATGGCAGCTTCAGTTCAGTGATCTCTTAGTGAACATCTGATAATGCATTTCCAGGTGCCAGATATTGTCCTGTGCAGGGAGAAGCCTACCAGGTCCTGCCACCAGGGATTTTGTAGCCTTATGACCCAACCACAAGCCCAGGGGCTGGTTCTGACAGAAAAGAGGGAGGAACCCCAAGCAGAAGCCTCACCTTCTCAGCATGGCTCATATTTCCCCTGAGAACTGGTTTAATCTGCTCACAGGAAGCTCATGGTAGTGGAGGTAACCCAGAGTCAAAACACCATAGGAAGTGGGTTTTGTGGTAACTGAGAAGCACTGAGCTGTGATCCTCAGGGGGATCTGAGCTCTGCAAAGTTCTCCCACGATTTCCTTCCAGTCTCACGTGGCTAGGCTAAACCTGGGGATTCTGAGCCTGAGAGGCTCCCAGTCCAAGGCTTCTGACCCTTCTAGGGAAATGAGACAGTTCCCTAAGAAAGACCCCCTGATAATTCTCCAATGGCCCCACCCTACTAACATACAGAGAATACCAAAACTGAGCATGGAGACAGGCAAGCCCATCTATGCTGTCTCATGTTTCTCAGATGACAGTCTTTTAATTTAGGTTCAGCACTATCACTCCAACCATGCTTACTCCTCAAGGCTCGAATCCACAAGACTGCAGTTGCCCTCAACACTCATGCCCCATGCAGCCCCATGGTTTGAAATAAATACCATCTATATGTGGAAGATTCCCAAGTCTTCCTTCCTGGCCTTGTCCTCCTCTTCATTTGGACATCTAACAGAACTGCAAACCTAATATATGTCTCCCAAACAACTTCAGATCCTAACCCACCTCCCTACCCAGTTTCCCCCCTGTCAGCACAGGGAACCAGCATTTCTCCAGCTACTCCAACTTGGAGTCATGTGGATTCTTCTTCCCTTTTCTCACTGTCCATGACCAGCCAGCCCATCAACAGGTTCTGCCAGTTCTCTCTCCATCCCGTCGTTGCCCCAGCACAAATGTCTTAACGGTCTCTGGACACCTCAATTCTACACTACTCTCTCCAAACTATTCTTAACACAGTCACAGTGAGCAACCAAGCTATCTTTTAAAACTATAAATCAGATCATTTCACCAATAATGGTTTAAGGTACACTTAAAAACAAATCTAAACTGTATGGTGGTTTCTTTTTAAAACTATAGAATATCATATGAGCCAGCAATTCCATTTCTGGTTATATACCCAAAAAATTCAAAACAGGGACTCTGATCTTTGTACATCCATGTTCTAAGCAGCACTATTCACAACAGTCGAAAGGCAAAAGCAGCCAGGCACAGTGGTGTAGGATCGCAAGTTCAAAGCCAGCTTCAGCAACTTAGGCCCTGAGCAACTTGGTGGACCCTATCTCAAAACAGAAGATAAAAAGGGCTGGGGATGTAGCTCAGTGGTACAGTGGCTCTGGGTTCAATCTCTAATACCAGAAAACAACAACAACAACAATTAAAAAAAGCAGAAGCAACACAAGTATCATCAACAGATCAATGGATAAGCAAAATGTGGTATATGCATAGGATAGAATATTATTCTGACAGATGTTCTGATATAGATGAGTCAGATATATTACTACATTAAAGAAAATAGTCATGAAAGAACAGATGCTGTATGATTCCACCTATATGAGGTACCCAGATCCATCAAATTCACAGAGGCAGAAGGTAGAGTGGTGGTTTCCAGGGCTGGGGTCAAGGAGGATGGGGAGTTGTGGTTTAACGGGTACAGAGTTTCAATATGGGAAGATGAAACTGTCAGGAGCCGCTCTGGACAGGAGCTGTGTACACACCTTTAAGTCCTGAGTAAAGAGGTACTGAACTGGTATTGTACCCATTGCAATGCAATTGGACTTTACCTCCGCTGAGGTAAGAAAGATGCAGCTCCAGGAGTAGGCGTCACAGGATGGGGTTGAATTACACCCACCTGTTTGTTGCAACCCTACCCTTTGCCCTTTTTTGGATAGAATCTTCCATAGATTAGCTCCCCCCATTAATAAAACCCAGGTTTGAGGTGTGCTCCCTCTCTTTCTTGCCTACCTTGCCCCCGTGGTGGGAGCTCAGCTGAGGAACAGTCACTGAACCCAATGAAAAAGGTATTTCTCTGACTTTGTGTGATTATTTCATGTCAGCTCAAATTCACTTGGAGTGACCCTGATTGATTTAGTGGCGGGCAGCCACATGAAACCATTCTGGAGATGAACAGCCATGATGGTTGCACAACAATGTGAGTATATTTCATATTAATGAACTCTGTCATTAAAAATGGTGAAAATGGTGAATTTTGTTACTTATGTTTTACTCCCTCTCCCCCCTCACACACACACAAACACATACTGCTCACTGCTTATAAAGGTCTTGTGATTCAGTCCCACTCATCCTTTTTTAATTTAATTGCAGTGCTGAGGATTGACCCCAGGGCCTCATGCACACAGGCGAGTGCTTTACCACTGAGCTACTCACACCCTCTAACCCCTGCTCGCTCACTGTACCAGTGTTCTTTCTGCTTCCTTGCCCACTTGCTCTCAGCTTCTTTGGCCTTCTTTCTGTCCCATAAACATGCCAAGCCTTAGGGACTTTGCACTGACTGACTGTTTTGCAGACATTATTGCTGAGATGCCAATGGGGATGGAGACAGAATCTCTTTATGGGGAGAAACAGAAGAATGTAAATAGGGTTAATATGGAGACAAACTGCAAGTAATAAAGCAACTTTACTTGTTAAAACAGATGCTGGAAGTTGTAAGTCAACTACAGTCACAGCCTTTGAACAATTTCTGATTATATCACTGACAACTCTTAGGAAGTTCAGGAAGCCTCAAAACAGCCACTCACTTCAGTTCTGACAAGCAAGGGATACAGAAGCAGGAGAATCTTGGGGGGTTTCCTACAGTGCATTCATAGGGTTCCTGCTGGGCACCTAGACAGGAGGACAGGGAGCAGGGACACTGCATTTCAGCAGAGGCACAGCCCTTGTTTGTGTGTGTGTAATGAGAGCTGCCCCTTTTCTCCTATCCTGTCCTTGCTCATCTCACTTCCCTCCCCCCACCTCCTCACTCCTAGCCTCTAAGGCGTGTGTTCATTTCTCCACTCTTTCTGGGCCCTAGGTATGTATCTGATTCCCCCATTCAACCAGTAAATCTTGCAGGAGGGAGGTCTAGGTTGTCTCTTCCTCAGCCTCCCCCTGGGGCAGGACAGGGCCTTGAACATGGAATGTACTGTTTAGGGTATGGCAGACTGATGGGTTGGGGGCCAGTTTTCAGAAGCTAGTAGTGTTTGCCAGACCAGGAGTGAACCCTGGACACTGACCCAGTCACTCAGGAGTGAAATCTGTGCCCTGATTTTTGACTGGGAGGTAGGAAAAAGAAAAAGTCTCCCAGCCTGGTACTGGGTCTCCACCCATCTCAGTATCAAATACCCAAATACTCTTGGTCATAGGGTTCCTGCTGGGCACCTAGACTGGGACAGAGAGCTGGGACACTGCATTTCAGCAGAGGCACAGCCCTTGTTTGTGTGTGTGTAATGAGAGTCGTTTAATCTGATTGAATAGTCAAATGCATAGGAAATTTTACCCCACTGTGGACTGCAGATCTCTGACCAAGGAGCTGAGGTTTTTCTTTTGTTTTGCTTTTGCCTTTTCCCACTCAACAGTGCCTAAAGTATCTTTAGAGTCTGAAAGCCCTCAAGGTTGGGTTGTTTATTTTATTTTACTTATTTACTTCTTATTTATTTTGTGGTATTGGGGATTGAACACAGGGCCTTGTACATGCTGGGAAAGCACTTTACCACTGAACTACACCATTAACCCTTTTTTATTTTTTGCGGCACTGGGTATTGAACCCAGGGGTGTTCTACCACTGATCTACATCCCCTACCCTCTTTATTTCCCATTTTTTTCTTTTTTATTTATTTGTTTATTGTTTATTTATATATGAAAGCAGAATGCATTACAATTCTTAGTACACATATAGAGCACAATTTTTCATATCTCTGGTTGTATATAAAGTATATTCACACCAATTGATGTCTTCATACCTGTACTTTGGACAACAATGATCATCATATTCCACCATCATTAATAACCCCATGCCTTTATTTCTCATTTTGAATCAGGCTCTTCCTAAATTACCCAGGTTCGCCTTGAACTTGTGATTGTCCTGCCTCAGCCTCTTAAGTAGCCATGATTATAGGTGTGCACCACTATACCTAGCTAGGATTGTTAAGTTTAGAGTGCACAAACTCTCTGTGGGGGCTGCACATTGTTGAGGGCGATGGTGCTCTAGTCTCAGTGGAGGAATAGAGTTTTCAATGAATTCTTGGAGCAGACTGACAGAAAAATAAGGCCCAAGTTAGGTTTTTCAGGAAGATGAGCTAGGGGTGCTAGAATTGTCCTTAAGAGAAAGTCCAGGGCAACAAGGTAGGAACAACCAGAGAGAATGTGAATATGTGTCTGACGGCTGCTAGGAGCAGAAAGAAGTTTTGGAGAGGTGCCTGGGGCTACTACAAATTCTGCCCTACGAGGCACAGGCTGTTCTGCCCTTTAGATGCTTCCTCTGCCAATCTGGCACTCTGTCATTTGTCCATCCTGGTCATAGGAGTGGCTTAACTGGGTACTTATGAACTCAGAAAGTCCTGTGAAAGCAGTTCATATCTCCCACCCTATGGCTCAGGGGTTGAAGCTTCTGAGGGATGAGTAGCACAGGGCTGGGGGAGCAGGGGTGCAAAAGAGCCTGGTATGAGAGGAAGCTGATACACTCGCTCCTGCTCCATACAGCCATTCTATTTGCTTGTAAGAGCCCTTTTAGGCCACTCCCAAGACCCTCCCATATCTGCCCAACTTTTGCCCTTCCCTTTCCAAAAGCCTAATCTATACATTCCTTGTCCACCAGTCTCTGACCACATTCCTGACACTTACCTTTGTAAATGATGCCAAGTGTCTTCTTGCCTGGGCAAATGTTAACTCCCGAAGAAATGGGTTCGACAGTGCTCATACTCAGGTCCTCCTTTAACAGCCCTAGTCCTCTTTCAGCATCTCCCACAACCCAGAGGGCAGGAGGAGGCTGGGGAAGTGAGGAGGGTCAACTGTTCTACTAGAGTGGTCCAGGACATACGCTGCAGGTGTGGAGTCAGTTCCTGCCTTCAATATGGGAGTTTGGATATGGAGGCTTGTCTGGGAGAGCCCCAGCCACCACAGGCCATCTGAGAGGAGGCACCAGCACCTGGAGACTCCCAGTCTGTCTATGCATCAGTCCTACAGCCCCTTTACTAGTCTGGAACCATCGTCCCACTTTCAAGTGGTTCTAAGAACTCATTCTTTGGACTCTGAGTCGTCTGCCTATCTTCTTGCCAATTACCCTCCTCCAAAGCTGCCATCCTTCTGAAACAAGGTCACTGTCCAGCTTAAACACTTTCAATGACTCATTTCTCCCTAAATAAATACATTTATCCTGGTATGAATGTTAATTCAACATCTTTTTGGACTCATTTCCTACCATAAACCCAAGCTTCAGCCACACTAGATCTCTCCAACAAACAAATTCATTTCTCTAGGATTCTGTTTATGTTGTTCTCTCTCCTGGGAATGCCCTTTATCCATTCCTCTTTCCTAGACATTCATTCTTTAAGGCCCATCTCCAATCTGGCCTCCCCTGTGAACCAGGCCCAGACATGCAAGGCAGAAATAACACCTCTGTCTCTAGACTCCCATGGAACATGGCCCCCACACAATGAATAAAATGAAACCATTGCTTAGGGAGCGATTGATTATTTGATGTCAATTATTCTGTGTCACATGAATCATCTCATTTATCACCTATCTCAGACCCCTTACCTACCATATAAAGAATTCAATTGTCCTCATTTTTAGAAAAGGAAACCAAAGTTCAGAGAGGTTAAATGCTTGCCCAAGCTCACAGAGCTAGGAAGAGTCAGAGCTGGGATTTAAATTCATGGAGTTGGACTCCCAAGTCCACACCCCTTCATATGTGTTCATATGGCCATACCACTATCTGACCTGTGAGGGCTGTTAGTTGGCCTTTTCAGGATAGGGTCTGTCTTGTTTGTCAAGACACCCCGTGGGCCTGGGTCAGTGCCAGGCACAAGCACTCAGTAAATGTTTGTGGAGTTGATTGAAGTGAGCAAGTAAGTGAGCAACCTCACTTACCTATTAACAACCATAGCAAAAAGAGCTTCTGAGGTGGAGACTTCAGAAGAGTGTTCTAGCAGGAAGGCAACAGGGAAAGGCCTGTGTCTACCCTCTGCCTTGTCCTTGCCCAGCATTTCTGAGTTGAGGTTGAGCCTGGCAGCTCTCAGGGAGTCCTGAAGGCCAAAGCTGCAAAGCTCTTAGAGTTCTTGGGGTCCAGTGGGAATAACATTCGGGCTCTACAAATGTAGTCTCCCTGCCCCCCACCTGTCTTCTGCTCCTGGCGTCTATGATGAGTGCAATGCCAGGCAACAGGCCTGATTCCTTGAGAGAAACTGTCCTCCTTCTCAGAGTACCCCTGGGACCCCAGCCCCTCCTCAGGGCCCCTCAAGCCTCACCCTCAGTGCTGGCATCATCCACCAGTATGATCTCCTTCAGCAAGATGGCAGGGCTGGTGTATAAGACACTGTACACCGTTCTCAGCAGTGTGGACCAGGCCTCATTGTGGAACACAATAATGACACTGGTGCTGAGCAGTGGGGGGCAGCGCGGGAATTTCTGGTCCACACACCTGGAAGGATGGGAGAATGGAAACAGCTGTCCAGGTCCATGGAAATTCTAGGAGTAGGAAAGGCTGGGTCTAAAGCTCCCCTAAACCATCCTTTGCTCCTGTGAACCGCCAGCTGACATCCCCTGCTATGGCTCCTTGATTTCCTATCACATGCTCTGAGCTTTGCACAGGTCCTAGCCAACACACCCCAACCTCCCCTGGTCTCCAGAGCTGGCTCAGTGCTCCAGATGTGATGCTCAGTCTTTCCCACCTCCTCCTTCCTTCATCTGTTCTCTACTATCAGGCTAGGACTTCCCAGGGCTGACTCTTTGCCTGTAGTATGTGTACTGCGTAAAGTGAAATCCAGTCTAGAAGTCCCCAAGGGGTAAGTGATAAAGGGCAAATTTGGCATTTGAGAATGTTGACTACAATTTTCTTACTCAATGTGAGGAAAAAAGGTTCTTCCATTTTTAATTTACAGTTCCTCTCTAATCCATTTCCCTATTAACATCCTATAATACAATTCTACTATCACAGTCAATTTCCTGCAAACTTTTCTCTATTCCCATCTACTACAACAACCATTCTGTGGCATTTGGTCACACTGCCATCTAGACACTCCATCTTTGGGTGAGAATCCGGAGTTCGGTAATCCCATGGTTTAACACCACTTCTAGTACCCCTCTGTTGTTCAGAGAGATTGCTCATGGGCCCTCCAGAGAGATTCTCCAATTTCCTCCACTGTGCCTGAAACAATGCCCTCCTTTGCCAACAAGCTCACAGTAACACCAAGTGACCCTTGTTCTGGGTTATGATACTTGTAGTCCAAGTCTGAGGAATTCCAGGCTCATAGCCCTAAAGGATCCTGAATTTGGGATGAAGAGCTGCATGTGAGAAAGGCCAGAAAGAGTCTAACATTTTTGTTATTGTTGTCACTGGGGATTGAACCCTGGAGCACTCTACCACTGAACTACACCCCCAGCCCTTTGTATTTTTTTTTTTTATTTTGCGACAGGTCTTGCTAAGTTGTTGAGTCTAGCCTCAAACTTGGATCCTCCTGCCTTAGCCTCCCGAGTCACTAGGATTACAGGGGTGGGCCACTGCACCCATCAAGGGTGTAACTCCTAAATTGAAAAAGACAAAGGCTGAGTGGGGACTCAGAATCTTTAACTTGAAGACAGTGTGAACACAGCTGTGGCCACATTAGATGAGGTGGGGGCAGCTCAAAGATGGAAGTGTTGATTTCATCATCAAGACTGAGAATATAAACAGTTTCAAATAAAGGCTGGAATGACTTCATGGTCTTGTGGCCTTCACTGGAGGAAACCAGGTGGTGTGAGGACATTCCAGACCTCCAGGGCTGTAGTTAGGAAACATCAGCTCTCCCAACAGGTTTGCCTCGGAGTCCCACTGATTCTGGGACAGGCCTCAGCAGAGGGCAAGGCCACTGAAACCACAGCCTGCTATCAGTCCTTCCCAGGTACCTCTGTCCCCAATACTAGTCCCAAACCCTGAGTTCCTTCTTCTCTATCCTGTCACCTTCATAACTGTGTTTCTCTCTCTCAGGTCTCTGTAGGTCTCTGACCTGCCCATAATATTCCTTTAGTTCCTGGGATAAGGACAACTGGTCAGTGAAAGAAAAGAGGGCTTATAGGAAATCCTTCCTTGTACTCTCAAATGCCCTTCAACTTTATTCCTGGCACATGGCCTGGGGCCACAGCCCTAACTTCAAAATCTCTGGTAAAGCCCGGGCCTCCACCCAGGACTCAATGCTACTTACTCAGGGGGTCGGGTGTCTGGCCCCAGGGCCCTGTGCAGGGAGATCCGGTCACTGGCAAAAGCATTGAAGCAGTGCTTCTTATAGCCCTCTTCCTTTTCCTGGATCTCCAGGGGGGTCCACTCACTCTTCTCAAATGCGGTCCCGTCTGCCCCAGGGCTGTTGGGGTCCTGTGGGGGCCGTTCCCAGAAAGGCTTCAGCTCAGCTGGGGTATAGAACCCAGGCAGGCAGGACTGGTTTATGGAGACTGGAGCCTGCTGGGGCTCTGGAGCCCTGATCTGAAGCTTGGGCATTGAATCTCTAAGGTTGTTCACAGCCCCTAGCATGATGTCCAGCACGTGATCCTTCTGGTTCACCAGAGACTTCAGCCATGGTTTCTCTGTGGTCTGCTTCCTGCTACTTATGTCCTTTTGCCGGATGAAGAGGAAAAGCATGAAGGCACTGCCCACCATGGCCAGCCGCAGGGTCATGTGCCGTCTGCGGAGGAGCCTCATCCTCCACAACCAGTGGGGACCCCAGCAGGCTCAGCTCCAAGTACCAGGCCTGACCCTGAAAATAGCTTGATATGTCGTGGTGGCCACACTGTGGGGTCTTGGCCTGAGAAAGGAAGGGAGAGAGAAAAATGAGGCAAGATAGGGGTGGGGAGGGAGCTGGGGTTTGGAGCTATAGTCCAGGCTCTTTTCTGAATAGTGGCATCACCTTTAAACGGTCACAATGTGCTGGTGCTTAAATCTTGTTCATTTGTAAACTAAGAAACTGGGCTCTGTTTCTTTCTTGCCCTAAGATTCTGACATTTCATGGATTTGGGCAATTGGAACATTGAAACTCTACAGGAAGACACTCAATCAACATTAACATTTTAGGAAACAACTTGGTACTAACAAGTAAAATGTATGTTTGTATGTATTGGTACTAGGGATTGAACCCAGGGTCACTTTACTGCTGAGCTATATTCCCCATCCTTTTTATTTTCTATTTTGAGACAGTTGCTGAGGGTCTAACTAAATTGCTGAGGCTAGACTTGAGCTTGCAATTCTCCTTTTTGGCTTTCAGAGACACTGGAATTTCAGCCGTATGCCACCACACCTGCCAGGTTTGTTTATTTAAAATTTTACTTGGTTAGCCAGATATAGTGGCCCACACATCTATTCCCAGAGACTCGGGAGGACAAGGTAGGAGGATCACAAATTTGAGGGCAGCCTCAGCAACTTAGTGAGATTCCATCTCAAAAAAAAAAGGTCGGGGGCAAAGGCTGGGGATGTAACTTAGGGATAAAGTTATATCCCCAGCCTTTCTGAATAGTGGCATCACTATTCAGTGAGTTCTTCACTGAGTTCTATCTACCCCCAGTACTGAGTACTCCATTCCTACTTTTATGTCCCAGATAAACTCTACTGCATGCAAACCAGGAAGCCTAGACAAGAATGTTTATAGGAGCACTGTCAAAACCACAAAAATCTGGTAACCATCTACAAGTACATTGGCAACAGAATGAATAAAGTGTGAAATAGCTGCACTATGAAGTTCTCTACAGCCATAACAAAGAATGAACCACTTCTCCATGCAACATGTAGACCTAAGGTTGGGTGGAAAAGCCAGTTGCAGAAAGACTTACATAGGGGCAGGGAATGTGGCTGAGTGGTAGAGTACTTGCCTAGCATGCATAAAGCCCTGGGTTTATTCCCTAGCACCATAAGATCAAATAAAAGGAATACACATATGGTGTGATTCCATTTACAGACAATTTGAAACCACGTTGACACTAAACAACATGTTGTTATGAATACAAATGCATTTTTGTATTCATATTCATATTAAATAGGTATTAATATAAACAATAAAGAAACTAAAGGAACAATAAAGCCAAAGTTTCTGAACAAGGAAAAAAAAGGTATGGGATTAGAGATGGGCAATAGGGAACTTAGAAATAGAGCTTGACTTTGCCCCGAATTAAATAATAGCTGCTGTTCACCAGAAGTCTTACTGATAACATCAACAGTCAATCGATCATATTTGGTATATATAATAGATATGGTGAAAAATGCGCATGAACCAGGGATCACTTTTTAGTGTGATACTCAATTTTCTGAGAGAAACTGCTCATTTGAAGATAATTAGTGTTGCATGCTGTTTCAACTGGATACTCAAAATAATGGAACTCACCACCACAGCAACAGGAGGTAGCTACAAAATTATTACAGGGGTACAATATGTACAAAGTTATTTTACGTAGTTATGATTTGTTTTTTGGTGCTGGGGATATAATTCAGGGCCTTGTGCATGCTAATTACACAATTTAACACTGACTTACATCCCCAAACCCCAGTTATGATTTAATATTGTACCTTTACATTGGCTACATTTCTCTCCATTCAAATGGTATCATGTGTGGTCTATATTTGTGTGCTTAAATTCTGATAAAATTTAGTTTTTTACATCTGGGCACGGTGGTGCATGCCTGTAATACCAGTGGCTTGGGAGGCTGAGGAGGGGAATCACAAGTTCAAAGCCAACCTCAGCAAAAGCGAGACACTAAGCAACTCAGTGAGACTCTAAATAAAATACAAATTAAGTCTAGGATTGTGGTTCAGTGGCCAAGTGCCCCTGAGTTCAACCCCTGATAACTCCCCCCAAAAGAAATTAACTTTTTATAATAGATTTTTGTATATTTTATGTTAGTAAATAATAAAATAGATTAAAATAAATTTTATCTACCTATATTTCACATACTCATGACATATCTAATATTTTTCAATATTTATAGGATAAAAGATTTGTCAGTTTTTTAAACTGGTGAAAATCTCCCTCTTCATACACACACAAAATTCATGTATGAATGCACCCACACAGTTTAAACTCATATTGTCCAAGGACCAACTAACTATTCTTCCAAATCTACTCATTTATAATGAAAATTTTAAAAAGATCTTTAAACTTAAGATTTTATGATACCTTCCAGGCAGGACCAAGCATGGGTGCTCATCAGTTTCCAACCTCAGGAATGTATCCCACACCTCAAAGGATGAGTATTTGCAAAACTTTCCTGGGGCCAGCTCTGGAAGTCTAAGGCTCACTGATGGAGCACTAGATGTTGGTGGCAAGAGAATGGAGCATGAATGCAGTACTGCACCTATAGTAACAGCACCTACCTCCTAGGGTTGGTATATGGATTAACTTTGAAAAAAAAATGTGGAAAAAATTGGCAGTCTCTGTACATATTAAGTTCTCAAAAAGCATTAGTTATTATCATTAGGCATGCAAGACCCTTGGTGATTTATTTAATCCCTCTAAGTCTCAAATTTCCTCATCTATAAAGTGGGAATAACTAATACCTAACTCACAGGGTGCTGATGAGGATTAAATGGGATATTGTACGTAAAATACCCAGCAGAGTGCCTGGCATTTACTAAGCTCTCAATAAGTGGTATCAAGTATTTCTATTATGATAATTAATGAATCCCTGCTCAACCTCCCAGGAATTAACCTCAAGCATCTGGTCCCTGGCCAAAACCACGATGATCATCCCTTGCATATTTTGCTTAAAAGTAACTCTGGTTCAGCTCTTTATTTCTGCTATTTAAACCTACTCTCTCCTGCCCGTGGGGAAGCCTGGCATAGTCACTTACATCTGGGGAATACATGGCTGTCATAATCTCGACAGGGAGCAGGGTTTGCTCTGGGCATGGGGAGACTGGCACTTTCTTTCATAACATTAGATTCAGCAGCAGCATCAAAAAATCAAACAAAAGAAATCTCTTTGGGCATTTGGTTTGCATTTTTTGTATTGTCTAGGAGATGGGAGAGATTTGTTCATTCTGCCAATATTTATGGGATATCTGTTATCTGCTGGCAACTCTGCAAACTGTGGGAACATAGGGGTGAACAAGGCCCAGGGAGTGTTCATCAGTTGAGGGAGTAAGATGTTAAACAGTGATTACTCAGCAAGATGGTAATACAAGAGAGGCACCTTGGGTGATGAAAGAGAAGGGAATCTCAACAAATATTGAAAAGTAGAGACATCCCATCAGGGGAGGAAGCTTGTGCTGAGCACCAACACAAGAGTAGGAGTCACCCTGGTGAAGTGAGCATGTTCCAGGCAGAGAGAAGAGCACAAGCAGAGGCCTAGGGGTGGGAACAACATGGCCAATCAGAAAACGGAGAGCCATCTGCTATGGTGGGAGTATGAAGTCTGATGGGAGCAACAGCAGATGAGTCTGAACAGGCAACTGGGGAGTTTGCCCTTGACCTGAGGTGTGAGCAACAATAAAGGATTAGCTGGGAGTCCAGAATTCCAGGAGAAGCAATATAACAGCTGGTAGAAAGCGTCTAGGAGAAGGACCTGCTTGGCAGCTGGATGGTCAGTTAAGAGAGGCCTGAAGGGTCTGACCCAGTAGAGCAGCAGAGCCAATGAAGAGGGGGAATGTAGTGATGGGGTGATAGCAAAACTCCCTTGGGTGTTAGGGTGGGACACAGAGGGACGTGAAGGAATGCAAGACTCAATTCCTGTTCTCCAGGGATTTAAAATTCTTGCTGGACTGTAACTAAGAACAGAGTAGGGACGAAGAGCATGAGAAGAAGATTAACATTAAACAGAGATGAGAGGTGGGAGGGAAAGGGAGAGAAAAGGGAAATTGCATGGAAATGGAAGGAGACCCTCAGGGTTATACAAAAGAACATACAAGAGGAAATGAGGGGAAAGGGAAAAATAATACAAGGGGGAGAAATGAAGGTCAGTAGAGGGGGTAGAGAGAGAAGAGGGGTGGGGAGGGGAGGGGAGGGGGGATAGTAGAGGATAGGAAAGGTAGCAGAACATGACAGTCACTAGTATGGCAATATGTAAATCAATGGATGTGTAATTGATGTGATTCTGCAATCTGTATATGGGCTAAAAATGGGAGTTCATAACCCACTTGAAGCAAAGTGTGAAAGATGATATATCAAGAACTATGTAATGTTTTGAACAACCAACAATAAAAAATTAAAAAAATTAAAAAAATAAAAAATAAATAAAAAAGAAAATAAAAAAAATAAAATTCTTGCTGGAGAAAGAGGTGGTAGCAGGGGGTACAAGTAGCACCTGTCCCAGGAGGAGACAGGGCAGAAAAAAAAAAATCTTTCACAGAATCTCCTTTTGTCCTTTGAACCCTGACTATATTACCTATTCAAAAGTTCATAACAGTCAGATGTGGTGACACATGCCTGTAATTTCAGTGTCTCGGGAGGCTGAGGCAGGAGTTCAAAGCCAGCCTCAGCAGTAGCAAGGTGCTAAGCAATTCAGTGAGACCTGTCTCTAAATTAAAAAACAAACAAACAAACAAATGAAATAGGGCTGGGAATGTGACTCAGTGGTCCAGTGCCCCTGAGTTCAATCTCTGGTGCACACACAAAAAAGTTTATAACATTAAAACTTAATGATAGCCTAGAGAATTAGCTGAAAAGGTAAGACTTTCCTGTGGAACTGAAGGGGGTTTAAGGGAAGAAATGAGGGTTCAATGTAAAGGCAGTTTTCTGACCCTGGTTTAGAACTATGCTGGGGTCAATCCAAAGGGTTCTCATTGAGCTAAACACCTCATTAATTCTTGGAACTGCTGCAGCCAAGCCCAATTGGAGAGCTACAGAATGGGATAGTATGGAACATTCTGCAGGCAACATGTTTTCTGCTATCTTCTGTCTACCTTCCCCCTCCAGCAAGAAAGAGAACACAGTTAACAATGAAGGTGTGGTAACATTGTGCTTATTAGCAGTACCCACTGCTTTAGGACTCACCTCCTCTAGGAATGTGAGCCACCCAGGTCACTCCAGCTCACTCTTTCTGGCACTGCCTTCTGGTCCCCGAAGCAGGGTTCGTCTCCTTTATTTCTCCTGGAGAAAGAGAACTAGGGTCAAAATGAGCTGCTCCCAGGCATTCGCTCTCTCAGTCCAACTAGCTGTCTAAAACTTTTCTTTCTGGAATCTATAGTTCCTCAAGGTACTCACCACATCCTGAACTGAAACAAGACACCTGTGATTAGGCTTGGCAGTAATCACTGTCTGGTTTGTTTGCTCGGCATGCAGGCAACCAAATAGTCCCTCAGAAGAGACACATAATCCAGTGGGCCACAGGAGTTTGGGATTAAAAATTCCTGCCCTGTGCATAGGAGATGATTCCCACAAGTGCGGTTAGCAAGAGCTGGGTGGTCACCCCCTCCACCAGCCTTGGAGAAGGAATAGCTCCTACTGTGGTACTTTGTTAAGTGCAAGGCTTCACAGGATCCACCTGCCATGTCCTGCCTATCTCCCTCACCTTTGGGGTCCCACACCCAGGGCCACTGATAAAAAAAAAGTGCCCATAGTGCTTGTCCACTTACTCCCCTCCTGCTGTTGCTGATCATTTGTCTTTTTAATTCATCAGACTCTCAATTCACTGAGATAATGCCAGAAATCCTCTTATGGGAAGTCTTCCTAGATTAAATGAATGGGACTTGCTTCCTGGGCCCCACCAAGCAAAACAGGAATGTACCTTCTCTCGTGGGTGTGAGGACCAGGAGCCAGAGGCTAGCCAACCACTAACCAAACCTCTTACAGTGCTATAAAATAACTTAAGAATGTGGCAGATCAGCATGAAAAATAATTCTTGAAAAGAATGAATGATGAAAAAGGAATTATCAAATTGTATCACATGTAATATGGGTAGGTATTATTCCATTAAACTTTCATTTCAGGTATTATTTATACATACACACATGCAGTTCTGAGCTTTAATAACTTCAGAAGTATGAAATTCAGAAATATGAAGGCTACAGATGTTAAAAAATGAATATCGCTGGAAAGTTTCATTTAAATTTCCTTTGCCTTTGTTAGTCTTATCAACTTTGAATAATCAATTTTTATTTTAATCTTTATCCTCAGTTCATTGAAGATGACAAACAGTATCTGATAGAAAATTAAAACTAGAATTTTGTTATTCAAAATTCATAAAATAAATTTAAATGATCCAAAACAAATTTTTTTTTTGTACCAGGGATTGAACCTAGGGGCATTTAACCACTGAACCATATCTCCAGCCCCTTTTTACATTTTATTTAGAGACAGGGCCTCACTGAGTTGCTGAGGTTGGCCTGAAACTCCTGTTCCTCCTGCCTCAGCCTCCTACTGGGATTACAGCACCATGATGTGGCTGATCAAAAAAAAAATTGGGGGGGGGGGGGGCGGGGAACCAGGAATTGAACTCAAGGGCACTCAACCACTGAGCCACATCCCCAGCCCTATTTTATTTAGAGACAGGGTCTCACTGAGTTGCTTAGGGCCTTTTTTTTTTTTTTTTTTTTTGCTAAGGCTGGCTTTGAACTTGTGATCCTCCTGCCTCAGCCTCCTGAACCACTTGAATTATAGGGTGTGCCACCATACCTGACTATAAAAATCTAAATTTTATCAGAACTTATGCACACAAATACAGACCATACATGATGCCATTTGAATGGAGAGAAATATAGCAAATGTTAAGGTAAAATATTAAATCATAACTGGGGGTTGCAGATATAACTCAGTTTGGTGGGGTGTCACCCCACCAGGCTGATCAAATTTTTGAATGACTTTTTTTTGTTGTTACTTTGTATAATTTATACTCCTGATGTTATTAAGGTATAAAACTGCCCTAAGAGTTTTTGGGTTACCTGCCACACATATATGAGGTCTTGTAAAGCTTCTTCCTTTCCGGTCATAGAAGTTTGAAAGCCCACGTTGGGCAAGGGCTCCACAAATGACCTCCATCCCTAGCCCTGGCCTCCTATTTCCACCTACACTCTGGCCTCATCACTGCCTGCCTTGTGTCAGAGGCATCTCTTCTCCCTCCTGGGACCTGAAAGGCCTTGTTGTTTCCACCTTTTTATCACTTGCAAAGCCTAGCATTCCTTTGATATGGAGTAGGTGTTCCATAAACTCTTATTAAATGCAATGAAGCCAGAGAGGTTAAACATTAAGCACTGGCTACACTAAATGATGTTTTGAACGCACTTGCCACAGGTATTTTCATTATGTGATATTCTGCTGTTAGACCCCCCTTAGCTTGCTGTCTTGATTAGTTGTCTGAGTTCAGTGCCCTCATCTTACTGGTGAGGCTATCTTGGTTAGTGACTTCACTTGGTTAGGTGACACCCCATCACTCACAAGCCCAGAACCCTGCTGCTCTGCTAGCTAACTCTCACCTCCCCCTTGGAGGTCATGTGGGTTCCAGGCTCTAGCAGAACTTCCCTTTCCACTCCCAGACCCCCTGTGTGGCATTTGCCCTCCTCCAGCTCCCACCCAGGGATTCAAATACTTTAAATATGCAGAAACTGAGAAGTCCCAGGCAAAGTCTCTGTTTTGTGAAAGCCAGGGTCAGCCACTCAGAACACACCCTTGCTGGCCAGGTGGCCTTTTTTGTAACAAAGTTTCTTCCTGTTTATTGAATGAGCTGTTCACCTCCGGGAGAGGTGGCAGCCAAGAAGCAAGCTGATTCGTCATACCCAGGGGGATGTTTGCTCAAGTTAGTCAAACTACAGCCCAATTACAAGTCTCTTTGAAAAGTAAGGACTGCTATCACTCTCACTGAGGGCACAGGTGTCTGAAGCTGGACATCATGTTAGGGAGGGGACAGGTCAACTTCAAGCTCCTGGTGGAGAAAGGGACTACGAGGCTGTTTGGCCAGATGTTGGTTGCCTATTCTTCCTGGCTAACACTTTCTCCCCATCAAGCCCAGCTCTTGTTTCCTGTCCCCAGTACCATGCTATGAACAGAGGGGTAAATTATCTCTTCCAAAGCTCTCCTCCCACCTCTGACCCTTTTGACCACAGAATACTGGGAGTTTCCCCCATAATTACACCTTTAAGACACTTTTGACTTTTCCTCAAGACCAAAGCTGCAGTACTTATTTGTCCCCAAGAAATGTGCTGAAAGTTATTCCTGTACCAGTCTATTAACATTTCCCCCCAGTATATCTAGGTTCATTCTATATTTACATTCGATATGAAGCTGAAGTTATCCAAACATAGATTTTCAACTGAAAAACCCAACCCAACTTTGCCTCACACTGTATACCCAGATCAGTGCTTGGCATATAGTAGGTGCTCACTAAATCTTTGTTGACTTATTCTGAGCAAAAGTCACTGAAAATCAAATTGACAGGGAGACAAAGAGGAAGTTCAACAGCTTATAGGGTTTTCCCTGGAGGATCTCCAAGCCCTGCCAGGTGGGGAAGAGGTGTGTCCTGGACCCCTAGGAATCCAGGGATGAAAGACGGTCCCAGGCAGGGTATAAGTGGGCTTCTCTACTGGCCTAGGAATTCTGGTGACAAGCAGTGTGGACTTGAAGGAAGACAAAGAAAAAAAAAAAAAAGTTTAACCATCTGTTGGTTTCAGGGGATTGGGAGACAGGGCAAGATCAAAATAGAGGAAAAAAGGGTGTTCCTGAAGACTGGGACCAATCTCTAGATTGGAGAGGGTGAAACTGAGGTTTTTCCTTCTCACTCCCACAGCCTGCTCTAGGTTGTGGAATTTCTACCCAGGGAGACTGGATACTCTATCTGCCACATTTTGAACTCAGGATCTGGGCCCTGTCCCTTAAGGAGCCAGCCTTCCCAGTTTCCCACGGTGGCCAGTCACATCAAAATCCTCAAAACAGGGCTTGGGATGTGGCTCAAGTGGTATAATGTGTTCTCCTGGCATGCATGAGGCACTGGGTTTGATCCTCAGCACCACGTAAAAATAAAATAAAGATATTGGGTCCACATAAAACTGAAAAATATATTTTAAAAAATCCTCGAAACAACCCCAACTAATTAATTAAATACTATAGAGTATTTAATCCCTTCTCCATGGTGGGTTCACCCCAGGCTTACTCCCAGGTCCTGTTGATTCATTCCCTAACTCCAGGATCCGCCCCTTCCTCTCTACTCTCAAAATCAGCAAATCAGCATCTGAAAGGGTACCCTTACAGCCCAGCATCTGGATAATCAGCAGAGCTGCCAGCCAGGCTCCTTTGCCTCAGGCCTGTCTCCCCCTTTTACCATCAGAACAGCCGTGTTCATGTTCCTTTGGTTCTACTTGATTGTGGCGGAAACGCAGCCTGGGCAGTGTGCTTCCTGTTTGCACACATTCTCAAACTTGACCAGATGCTTGGCACTGGCTGGCTCTCCCTCCTCAAATCCTTGCTCCTATCTCCCTGGTAAGCAGGCCATGCTTCTGTTCAAATTCTTACTCCTAAGTCCCCTCTTGCAAAAGAAGCCTTCTTAGACAAAGGTGTGTCTCGATGCCCCCAGGATCTAGGTGTGTTTATTTGCTTCTAAGTTTCTCACTGGCTTTCCCCATGTAGGAATTCCTCCTAGATTTCATGGAGGCAAACCAACAGCCCTAGACACCTACATATTATTTCCCTTCTCCCTGATCCTTATATCCTGGTCCCCAAACTTCTATTTCCTGACTCATCCATGTGGCCTTCAGTGCCTGCAGCATTCTTCTGCCCTGGGGTATGTGGTTAGGCCATTTCCTAGGACCCAGAGTAGGCTGGACAGGGTTCAGGAGAATAATCTGACCCTTTAGGGCTCTCAGGTACCATAAAAGAGTCTTCTAACATTCCTTTTTTTCTCCCTGGACTGAACCCATTCTTGTTCATCACACAAGCCTTTTATATAGCACAATTACAGCATTGAGCTTGACACAGAGACAGGCACTGCCCTACACTTGACCTCTTGCTTATTCAAATCCTCACTCTCAGACCCATCAAATGAGAATGGTCATTTTGGGCTTTCCCAAAGAGGGACAGGGGCTAAAGATCCAAGTTCACCCAGGCTCTGACATAGCCACTCAAGAGTCCCTCCAGCATGTACACACCCCTCTGGTCCTTAGTTTCACTTCCAGGGCTAGAAATATCAGAATATATCTGTAGGAGTCATAAGATATTTAGGGAAATACTATTTTTTTAAGACAGGGTCTCACTTTGTTGCCAAACTATAAACTAGCCTCAAACTCCTGGGTTCATGTGATCCTCCTGTTTCAGTCTCCCAAGTAGCTGGGACTACAGGTACACATCACTGTATTCTATCAAATCAAGTTATAGTTATCTTCTCCATTTTACACAGAATAAAAGTGAAACACAGGAACATTAACTAACCAAGGTCACACTGCTAGGAAGTAGCTGTGCTGAATTTGCACTCAGGCTCATCTCTCTTCAGAGCCTTCTGCCTTACCCATGGCACTATATTGTCTTGCATTTGGCTGGTGCTTGGAGATTTGCCAAAAAGCACTTTCATATATACCTTCTCATTTGCTCCCCACCCAGGGAGTGTTTACGTGATTTGGACAAGGTTATACAGCTAAATTAGTGACAGACTTGAGTCAGCAGCCTTCCACCTTCATTATACCCACTGTCTCCCTGCATGACAAGCCCTTGGCCCTAGAATGAGCTGACCCTCTTAGTCCTGACTTCAGTTCTAGGCAATGGCTACACAGACTGCAATGATCATATCTCTTTGCCAGGTCTCTCCAGTTGAACTTGGCTAAGATGTTTCCAATCTCAGAGGGCACCTGATAAACATCAGGGCCTCCCCTTTACAGGCCTGAGCTCTTCCATGATGTGGCGGATAGGAGTTAGTTGTTCTGCCAACCATGGGTGGTGATTATTTAGCAGCCCAGTATCTCCCATGGTATGGTGAGTTCCAGATTTCCATCTTCCCTTGCACTCAGCCCTGATACTCCTGAGAGCAGGGGGTTTTTTTTGTTTTTGTTTTTTTCCTGTTACCTTTGGATTCTTAAAATGCATGGTACCCGGGGCTGGAATTGTGGCTCAGCGATAGAGCGCTCGCCTAGCACGGGCGGGACCCGGGTTCCATCCCCAGCACCACATAAAAATAAAGGCATTGTGTTGTGTTCATCTACACCTAAAAAAATAAATATAAAAAAATGCATGATACTGGAGCTGGGAAATGCCTGCAATGATCCTGGCCATTGTTGGATAATTAGAACAAAAGCATATTTCAAAACCCTGGCCTTGCCTTGCTCTAGTAATCACATGAATTTGTCTGTGTCATCCTTCCCAACCTTTCTCTGATGAGTAGGGAAACAGCTCACCCATTGGAGAGGAGAAGTAGGCCTACACAGTGCACACACATCCCTGGTAAAATAAGCATAAGTCCTGGAGGCTTTTTGGTGTGTCCTGAGTTATTAACCTCACCCAGTGTCTGTAAACTGTGTTTGTGGGCCTGGGGTGATCTGAGAGCACAGTGTTAAGACCCTCCTTGGGACCTCTTGGTTAATAGAGGATGTCTGTTTGAAGCTTTGTTGGCAAAGTGATCACTGCCAGTGCCCACACAGGTAGGACAGTCCTGTCCTACTCTCTGCAGAGCTCTGGGTCTGGGATGCCTGGCCCCTGGGGCAATACAAGCTGTTCCTCCTTTCTGTCAGCGTGAGGCTTGGAACAAGTGACGAGAAATCAGGAAGTTGATGACAGCCACAGTCATGCACAACCATCAGGTCCCCTCCCACACAATACCACACAAATCCCTCCCTACTCCCGAAAGACCCAAGCATTTAGGGGAGGTCAACCAAGTAGGGCTGTAAGGGACTCCCACCAGCAAGCTTTTTGCTTGCTTGTCCCTTCTGCTCAAGTGTGATGGGGCCGCGCTGGCAGGAGGAAACCTTTCTGATAGATTTTCTGTACTGGAGCACATAAGTCCTGGGTGGTCCAATCTGGGGAGACACACGCAGAAGGAATACCAAGGAGGGGCATGATATGAGGGGGAAAGGGTGTAGAGCCCCTGAGGGAGGACTATGGCTGGTACTCCTCCCACACCCCAAGTTCCAGAAGACGGTCTGGGCACCCCATTCACCCCTCAGCTCTTTGGTGGAGGAAGTACCACGGATGGAGGAACTACCCGCCACCCGCAACCGCCAAGAGCGCAGGCAGGAGGGACCAGTTTGGCCCTGCCCCTCATTTTACAGTGTGTGGGGTGTTGAAGAGGGACAGAGTCTGACGGACCCGGTGGTGGGAGCGAGGGCTTGGCAGAAGCGAGCCCGACTGGTGAGAAGTCCCGGGGAGCCGGTAAACTCTGGGTTCGGAGGCCGGGGACAGGGTCGCGGGTTCCTCTGCTGCTTACCTGTCGCGCCGAGGCAGAGCAGCCGCCCGGCCGCCGCGCCGCTCCAGGGTTTCCCGACGGGGCGGCCGGAGGGCGGGGCCGGGGCGTTCCTCCTCCGCGGCCCCGGCCCCGCCCCGCCCTCCCGCGCCAGGTGCAGCCCGCCACGCACCGCGCGGGGAGCGGCTCGCGGTCGGGTGGAGCGGCTCCCCGCCTTTTCCAGATCTCAGCCCACCCCGGGTGCTGTTTCCGCCGCCAGACTCTCAGCTCCAAAACAGATCGGAAGGTCCTAGACACCCCAAGGGCCACAGCCATTAGCAGAGCCCTTGGCGGCGCGTGCGGAGAGTCGCGGCGCGCCTGGAGACAGCTGGTTGACAGCGCGGCTGGAGGGTTCAGAGCCCCGAGGCTTGGCGCCAGAGTGAAAAAACGCGGCCTAGCAGGGAGGAGCCCCGAGGCTGTGTCATAGGCTTTGTCCCTTCATTTGCCGCAAGAGTTGGTATTAACTGTGTGCCCTGAGTGGTGCCAGGTCTCAGGTTAAACCAGCCTCAGAAGATACCTACTTATTGTCCGGACTGTACTGGGAGGTGGCTGATCACACAGCTAGTATTTTCTCTAAGTGTGGTCCCTTGACCCGCAGCATCAGCACCTCCAGGAAACTTTTTAGAAATGTAGATTCTAGCCGGAGGCGATGTCGCACGCCTATAATCCTAGCGGGGCTTGAGAGGCTGACGCAGGAGTCCTGATCGCAAGTTCAAAGCCAGCCTCAGCAAAAGCGGGACGCTAAGCAACTCAATGAGACCCTGTCTCTAAATAAAATACAAAATAGGGCTGGGGAGGTGGCTCAGTGGTCGAGTGCCCCTGGGTTCAATCTCTGGTACTCCCCCCCCCAAAAAAAATGTAGATTCTAGTGTCCTGCCGCAGAAGACCTAAATCTGAAACTCAGGATGAGACCCAGCGACTTGTATTTTTAAAGTCCTCCAGTTGATTGCGATTCACATTCAACTTTAAGAACTCTTGAACAATAGTGTCAGGGGTGGAATTAGAATCCAAGTAACTCAGACTGGAGGTATAGTTTAGTGGTGATAGTGCATGAATGAGAACTTGGGTTTGATTTCTGGCTACACACACACACACACACACACACACACACACGTAAATTCAATTCCTAAACCTATGTTCTGAATCATCCCACCAGGACTACGGGTCTGTTCATGGATGCTCTACAGTTCTAAGATTCTTTTTTTTTTAATTAAATTTTATTGATTTTAATTTGTTTTATATGACAGCAGAATGCACTTCACTTCACATTACATATATGCAGCACAATTTTTCATATTTCTGTGATGTAATATTTTAGGGTCCTTAGTAAGAGAGAGTAGCATGGATGACTCCAAATAGCTAATAATTTGAAAACTTTGTATGGTAGAAACTTGGACTGCTAATCCAAGTTTTTTTTTTTTTTTAATATTTTATTAGGTATCAACGCACCTTTATTTATTTGTTTATATGCGGTGCTAAGAATCAAACCCAGTGCCTCACATATGTGAGGCAAGCACTCTACCACTGAGCCACAACCTCAGCCCCTCCAAGTTTTGTTTTTTAATGAACTGGTATTTCCAAGTCCCCAAGACCTGGGAGCAGGGTGCATCTAGCAAGAAGTCAGTTCTAAAAGGAACTTGGAAGGGCTGGGGAAGCCACTTGGTGAAGGAAAGTAATCTTGTTTTCTGATCTAATGATAGAGTTGAGCTATTCAGTAGGCCAAAGACATTCCATGACCTCGCCTGGAGAGAAGGACAGCAGAGCTGGGGTTAAGAAGAGCTTGCCCAGCTACACTAGATCAGAGGGATGTTGAAGGATGACATTCCCACAGTTCTAGAGAGGGAGGAGGTGTCACTCAGTATTGGCATGGTCACCCATCTTCCCTAACTCTAAGCAGTGAGGAAACAGTTCTCTCTCCCACCACTCCCTTCCTTTCACACTCTATCTAGGAGGGGATTAATCTTCTAAAGAGACATTTCCCACAGAGCTTCTTTGATCATTCCTTTTAGCTCCTTTCAGACCCTCAGGGCTCATTCTAACTCTGTTCCAGGTGCCACCATTCCCACCCCACCACCCAGGAGTGGTGGTAGTGGTAGAGGGATTTACTGGGGATTTAACCCAAAGATGCTTTGCGCTGAGCTTCATTTCCCAGCTCTTTATTTATTTATTTATTTATTTATTTTTTAATTTTGAGACAGAATTCACTAAGTTGCAAAGGGTCTTGTTAAGTTGCTGAGGCTGGCCTCAAACTTGCAATCCTCCTGCCTCAACCTTTCAAGTTTGTGGTGGCAGCTGCCACATTCTTGTCACTTGCCTTATTCGACTACTGTCTTTCTTAGGATAAGGATGTTTTCTGTTGAAGGTTATGAAATGTTGCCCCTCATTTTTGTCTTCTTGGCAGCCAAATGCTCCCTGTATAGGTATGACCTATCGTCTTTGTTCCATTCTTCTCATTCTGTTCTGTGACCCTCAGGAATTGTGTGATCCTAAATCAGGACCCAACCTGACCTAAGGTAAGTAATCTCAGTTCTTTCCTAGGGTAGGTTCATGACCACTGACTCCAGGCTGGAGCTTGTGAGAGATTCTGCCTAGCTTGCCAAGAAGCAGCATCAGTCTCGGTGTGTATTTCACATTCTAGAAGCAAATTACTCATTCCATCTTACTTCAGCTGATGATTTTAAATGTGACTTTGAGTCCTCAGAATGATTAGCTGCCTAATTTGGAGGCCTATGCAGTAGGCCCACCCATAATGTGTCATGCACTGAGCTGCTCTCTCTTAGCAGGAAGGACAGTCCTGGCTTTCTCCTCTCTGCTCCAAGAAGGTCTGGGGATGAGTCACCTCAGAATGGTGACTGCTACCTTAACCTCCACTGGTGACAGGCCCCTTAATACATATATTTAAATGATATTTTTGTGGTACTTAAATTTAACTCAGGAGTGTTCTACCACTGACCTACATCCCCAGCTCTATTTATCTATCTATATCTATATCTATATCTATTTTTTTAAATCTCACTAAATTGCCAAGGCTGGCCTTGAACTTGTTGTCTTCCTGCCTCAGTCTCCTGGTGGTACCCGGGATTGCAGGCATGTATCACCACGCCCAGTTAAAAAGGTTTTCTTTAAATGACAAAGTTTTATACGCATGTGGTTAAAAAGAAAAAAAAAAAACTCAGGCACTACGAAAACGTTTAGAATGAAAGCTACATCTCCTACCTTCCTGGACCTGCAGTCCTTCTCTCCAGAAATCATCCACACATGTTCTGCTTCCACAAGACATGACTGGATTCCCCTAGCTGCAAGAAACCTAAAATGACCCCTTCTCAGGAAGTACTAGGAATTTCATTTTTTCCCTTACAATCTTATTTTTACTTCTGGGCCATTTTAGATTCAGGTTTTGGGTAATCTGAATTTCACTTTTCACATCAGTGTGCTTTCAGGGGGTTTCCCCACCACGGGGCAGGAAACAGATCTGTTGAAACCAGCAAGAGGAGGGCAGCTTTGTAAGGCTGGTGATGTCAGCTCTGTCCCTTATCAGCTGTCTTCTTTCTACCTTCAGTCCCTGGTGAGGAAACACCCATCTCTGGGTGGGGCGGAAGGAACAGAGACCTGCCCTGGGGGAAGAGGTGCTGGCCCCACCTACCTGGGAGAGTTTGCAGAAGATGCCACAGAACTTGCCAAGGAGGTCTGGAAGAGCCCAGCTGGCCCGCCTGCCACCACTACCCCTCACCTCACCCCTGGGGGCGGGGCCTGCAGTAGGAATCCAGCAAGTCCCTTTAACCTTCTTGCAGCTTAGTTTCTTACCTGTAAAATGGGGTTAATGACGCCTAGGGTTGTTGGGAAGCTCAAGTGAGACAACTGATATGAAAGTGTGATGATTCTTCTGAATTCCTTTACCTCTTTTCTTCTGATATTCACACTTCCTCCTTCTCATCTCATTCCTGGGCTCAGAAGAGAAATAGTCAAGCAAGAGATGTTTTAGGAATCAGGCAGAGCTCTTCCAAATTCTGCCATCATCACTCATGCATTATAGTTCACTCACCTCTGTACTTCAATTTTCTCATTTGTAAAAGAGCATATTATTTTTATTACTCAGCTCTTAGGTAAGTGTTTAGCCCCAAACCTGGTAGACAATAAGCACCCACTAAGGGTCAGAATGTTAGCCATTATCATTAGCTGTTTTCCTTCTTTTATTTTTTTCCTTCAACAAAATGCTGTCTAAGTCAGCCACATGCTAGCTTCTGTGTTAGATCTAAGATCAGGCAGAGATACAAGGATAGAGAAGTGTCCTCTATCTTTCTATGTCTTCTCTCTCTCTGGACCCCCATGGTCAATCAGGTGTCACTGATACATGTAAAACGGGTTATGGTAGGGTAGGGCCAGGACTTGAGTGAGTCAAATGAGACATTTGTCTTGGGTGAAAAATTAAAAGGGACACCAAAATATTCAGTAATCGAGATAAATAAGATTTTAATGCAATATTTTAAAAACATCAAAATTAATGCAAAAAATCTATGATGAAAAAAAGATTTAAAAAATCTAAGAAATTGTGGGTGGGGTGCAGTTATGGCTCACTGGTAGAGGTCTTACCTAGCGCGCGTGCGCGCGCACACACACACACACACACACACACACACAGTGGGCTGGGTGTTATGCTCGAATTCGAGACCCCCAAAAGACCACCAGAGACCAAGATCGATGTAAACAGCAAAGAGGTGTTTATTGCGAGCTAGCTCGGTCCTCCGCGCGCACACACAGCAACTGGTGACGCTGAGAGGCCCTGAGCCCAGGGTTTGCAGCAGTTTTATACATTCTTTGGAGAAGGCAGGGACCCCCACATACATCATAGCATCTCTTAGCAAATCATCACACACCGCGGGAAAATCAAATAACAACTCTAAAACATGATTAGCACATTCACTGGCGGGAACAAGTTGGGTAAGGGTGATTGGTCAGTACAAAAGGGGTATTCATTTGAACTGATTGGTTTAAGCCAAGAGGGGTGTTCATGCTGAATTACATGGTTTCCCAACACGTTATCAACCACCATAAACTACTGGGAGGGTCATCTGGCATCCCAGGTATTTCCCTGTCTCAT